TTAAGCCATATATTTACCCCTTTTATCCTGGGGGAATATTTAATAATGCCGTGTACAGTAAATGATTAGAGTAGTTAATGATACAAGCTGAGAATGTATAGTTTCCCATCATTTTTCCCACCGGGATGAGCTCTTGGCTCGGGCGCGGGGCTCCGCGTTTTGCCGGGTCGCGTCCCGGGCTCTCAAGGCTGCGGGGCTGTAATTGAGCGCGCGCTGGCAGCGGCACTAAGTCTCGCGCACAAATCTTGCCGTGACGCACACTCCCCCTTTTGGTGCCACATGTCACCTTCTTTTGGATGCCTGTCGTATGATTCTGCAGTTAGGGCGCAGTAAATCCCGCTGCTTTTCCGCTCTGCCGTGGCTCGCTCCGCGCGGCTCCTCGCTGTTAGCCGGGGACGCCGTGTCCTGGTGCTTCCCGGCCCGCAGCCCCTTCTGCCTTTCGGTCTCATCGTTCTGCCGCTCTTTGCTTCCTCAGAAAATACCTCCTCTTCTCATCTTTTCACTTTCTGTTCCTGCACCAAGATTTTTCATCCCTCTCCTGGTGCAAGCGGAGAATCACCGTGACCATGTCACGAGCCAAGTCCCTTCTGTCTTGAGAAACTCCCTACATTGCTTCCTTGTGCGTGAAACAGGGTGCCTGGACATCTCCTTGTCCGTTCCCTGTCCCATTAGCCTTTATTTTGCACTTGTAACTGCAATTACAACTGCAGGTTTATGTCTAGGACATAAAACTAGACACCAGAGGAGGCGAGAGCTGCGTCACAGATTCACAGAATAGTTAAGGTTGGAAGGGACCTCTACAGATCATCTAGTCCAACCTTCCTGCTCCAGCAGGCACACCTACAGCATGTGGCACAGGGTGGCATCCAGGAGGGTTTTGAAGACCTCCAGAGTAGGAGACTCCACAAGCTCCCTGGGCAGCCTGTTCCACTGCTCTGTCACCCTAACAGTAAAGAAGTTGCTCCTCACCTGGAGACGGAACTTCTTGTGCTTCAGCTTGTGGCCATTACCCCTCGTCCTATCGCTGGCCACCAGTGAGAACAGCCTGTCCCCTTCCTCCCTGCATTCTCCCTTCCTGAACTTATACATATTAATCATATCCCCTCTGAGCCGTCTCTTCTCCAGAGAAAACAGGCCCAGCTCACTCAGCCTCTCTTCATACGAGAGATGTTCCATTCCCTCAGTCCATCAGATCTTCCCGGGCTCCTTTGCCGTTTGGGTGAGGGTCTTGGGCGCAACACGACTGCGAAACGCCCCGGCTGGTGGCACGCCGCCCGCTCCGAGCGCGAGGGGAATCGCTGCAGGATTTAATAGCAGCCCCGGCAGCGCCGCGGGAGCCACCGAAGCGATTTGAGCCAATTAATCCCTAGTGTTAAAACATGTTTCACTTGAATTTTTTATCAGACTCATGTGGGAAACGGTATGTGAGAAAGAAAGAAATTAGAAATGCACTAAATAATAGATGGGTGTACCTAGCCAAGATGTGCTTGTTAGGGCCTCTTCGTCCCTGTCATTCCGAGTATTTAGTGCTGGATCCTCAGCTGGGGAAACTGCTGAGTCCTGGGGAAGGCCGGGCCCCGTGCAGCCCGACACCGTAGGGATCCGGCCCGAGGAAAACTGGGCTGTTTGGGAAGGACAGCGATGGTGGCGGGGAGGGTTTACTGATGTTGCCTAATTATACTGTAATTGCCATAGTAGTAATAGCATAAAAATGTAAATTTGCTTTCTTCTGACTTTGCCCTCCTCAGGAAGCAGCTCGACACTATTTCATTAGGTGCAGGTGAGTTTCCCTGGAAGCATCTGAAGGAGCTTCCACCCCAGAGGAGCGGGCGCGGGGGCCCTGTCTGTGGGCGCCAGTCCCTCGTAGCAGCCTTTCTGCCATTCATCTTTAAAAACGTGGTTAACGTTTTCTGTTAACAGCACAACCACTAAAACGGTTACGGATAACACGGGAAGAGGTGGTGAGAGCCACGGGTGATTCCGACCTGGGTGTCTGCCTAGCAGCGACACGCTGGTTGTTACTGAGCGCCGCGCGGCGCTGCGGCTGCGGCAGGGCCTGCACGCCCGGCCTGCGGGAGCTCTGTGCCTGCAACGTGGGCTGAAATCACAGCCTGCCACTAAGAAACACACAGTATTAGGGAGGAGGAGGTTAAAAATAACGCCACAAAACAGGTTTGTTATCGTCTTGGTTGTTTTGAGCACAAACTTGGTTGTGCAGCCGAAGGGGGCCCAAGCTTGCCCAGGCAATAAGGGTTTGGACCTCGGGCCCCGGCCCTGCTGGAAGCCAAGCTCCGAGGTGGGATGAGCTTGGAATGAGCTCGGAATTGGCTGATGGATTCACGGCCAAGCACGCGTGGCCCTAGTTGCTCATCAGTGCCTTAAGCCACGCAAAGGAGTCAGCAGGAAGCGACGAGCGCGGCCGCTGTACCGGGGAGGGCAGCGTGGTGGGGACACCGCGGAGCGCAGAGGGATTCCTAGGAATGCTGGAAGTGCGGGAAGTGCCCACATTGTAGCGTGGAGAGGCATGGACGCGGTGTCACACAGAGGGGCTGCCGGGCCCCGCTCCCTGCCGGCACAGGGAACGTCGCCTTGCAGGGCACGGATAGGCAGCGACAGGGTCTGCAGCGGCCGCCGTCGGTGCAAGGAACGCCAGAAAAACAGCCTGCACATTAACTAAGGCCGGTAAATTAATAATGGATTATACTTGTATTTTTGTACACGAGTTGACTGAATATTTCATAAGTGCAAAAATGTTTGTGTTTGGAAAAAAAAGAAAGAAGTGGTTAGAGTCTTTAGGATCGGCTTTGGAGGCCCCTCGGCTGTGGTTTAGGTGCAGTGTCCTCGGTCCCATGTGCAGAAATACAAAGTCTAGGGGAAAACGCAGTGGGCAGGATCACAAAGCACACGGCGCGAGCGGGCTGGAGCCTCCGCGGCGCGTCCCCGCGCAGCCTCGGCCGTCGCCGCTTTGCCGGGCTGCGTCCACCCCTGCGCCGCTTACGGGCCGCTGCCTTGTGGGGGTCACTGCCTTCCCTTGCCTTGCCTGCAAAGCGACTCCCCTCCGCTGTTTTAATCTTTTGGTCTGGGAAGAGATCCTTCCAGCCTTCCCATTGGCATCACGTCGTGCTGTGGGACGGCCTCTTTCAGGGCAGAATAGATCCATTTTTGCGTCAGGCTTTGGGAGCAGCCATGGAAGGCGGCGGCGGGTGCAGCGTGGAGGGCAAATCCAGCCCTCCGCAAGGGAACCGGCAGCGTCTCCTCGCTTCTCAGCCTAGAATGTTTGTCAAAGGCAAAAAACCAGGCTATTCCAGCCCTTCGGCTAAGGTTGCAATGAAATTCATGTATTGCTTTTCTTTCTGTTCTTCCTTCTGGTTTCTTTTTCCACGTATGGTTTTTATTTGCGGCTAAAAAATGATCAGCTTTCAGGAACGCAGAAAACGGTTTCGGAGGGACGCGTGGGGCCGAATGCCTAAAAAGACTTGAGTTTGACGTGAGGGGGACGCGGCCTGGGAGCCTGTTCTGTTTTACAGGGGAGTTAGGGCATAGAGGGAAGAGCTCTGCGAATACATGGAATAAAGAAATAGAGGGAAGATGCGGGGGGCTGTATGAACGTGGGGTGCAGAAGGAGACGGGGCCTTGGCGTGCCGGTCCGTGTTCCCGTTCCCCACTTCCCGCTGATGAGCCCGGCTAACAAGGAGCTTGTGCCAGGCGCTCTGGCAGAAACACGGGCCGAGCCGTTCACGCGACGCACGGGGTCCATCTGCAATCCCACGTGAGACCCGAATTGAATTTAAATGGGATTTCTATTATCCCACCAGCGAGAATCAAGTGTAAACGAAGTAAAAGTCTTTAGAGTTGCCAGCAGGTTGTTTTTACTAGCTAATTTAGTACATTCTCAAAAGGATGCTCGCTGGCAGGAAAGTTTGAATATTTCATGACTTGCAGCGCAGAGTAAATACAGGGAGGGGAAGCAGCTCTGTGTGCCCAGGCTCCCGGCACCAGGCCCTTCCCGCCCCGCTCCTGAATTTTCCTTCCACAAACGACCGGATCATTCACTAGGTGGAAAAACTAAGCGCGTGCTGACCCGAACACGGGTTCTTCATACCCCGTTTGCAGTGACTTCATTGCATACAATTCCGGCCTGGATTCCGAGGCCTGCTCCTTGTTGGCTCTTTTGACATGATGATACTTTTTAAAACTTAATATTTCATCTAGTATAATGCTATTAGAGACTTATTCTCACTTAGTTCACTCATCAGGCAGTGAGATGGCAATAAAAGAGAATGGCTCCTTTGAGACATTAATGCTTTGGAATAAATGATGTGCTAGAACAGAAATTTAATTAATTTACAGAGTATATTGATAGTCCCTTGTTACTGTGCTGTATATTTTTAATCTTCTTTAACATCTGTAGCAAAGTGTTTGAAAACCCCTGCAGTTGAGCAACTAGTAGATAATTAAGTAATAAGGGAAGAGCTTCTGGAGAGGAAAAGATTCTTTTGAGAAACCACTGCCATAACGTGAATATAGCACTGCTGCTGTGATCTGCAGTGAAGAAAAAGTAATATACTGCCCAGCCAAATAGCAAGTAATAAGGATTCGGCTCCTGTTTTAAATGCAGTCTACGACTGCATCCCTGAAAATATCATTGTGTTCTGTTGTATCTGCAGGAAGGCTCATACGGATGAGGTGCTGCGGTAGCAAATCTTCCTCGCGCGCTCGTGCCCTTGCGGTTCCGTGTGGGCGAGAGCCGGGGCGCGGGAGAAACTCTGGGCGGTTTTCCTTGCAGGAGATGAGCGCGGAGATTTGCCCTGAGCTGAGGGTGCATCGAGACGATGTCCTGCCGTGACCGGTGCCGCTAAAGGCAGCGCGTTAAGAACCAGCCTGGGGCGCCACGTGGCACCGACTTGGCGCTAGCCCCCGGGGAAGCTTCTGTGGTGACACAAATCAAGTTAACCAGGTGCAAAGCTTGTTGCTCATACCTCTTGTCTCTTCTCTTGTAGCCAAAGCAGACGAAGCTTTAAAGGCCAAGGAGAGAAGCGAAGAAGAAGCAAAGAAAAGGAAGGAAGAAGGTAACAGGTTTTCTCTTGGGTAATGCACTGCGGCAAGTCCCGAATGGGAGTTTTGGAGGGACCGACTTGGCCTGGCCGGTTGGGCCGGGACTGGCCGGTCCTGCTGTGGATCCCGTGTTCCTTGCGGCAGGAATTGCTCCGTGTGCGGGAAGGGCCGGCCGGGAGCGCAGCCGCTGGAGCAGCAGCCGCAGCCCTGCGGGTCGCGGGCGCCGGAGGCCGACGCGGCGCCGGGCGCCCCGGCCTCGGGGGCACCTTTCGTCACTCTTGGCTGGGAGCCTAAAGCCTGGCTCATCCCTGAAGCCCAGGCCGAGCCTGGCTGCTTTCTGAGGGCAGCGGCAGCTCGTTTGTGCTTCCCGCAGAGCGGCGCTGCGCGCGGGGAGCGAAGGGGCCTCGCTCTGCCGCTCTCGTGCTGCCGTTCTGCGGGATTCGTACGTTTGTACTGCGTTTCCCACCCCCGTTCGTTTCTAGCTTTGCATGTCTTTAATGAGCTCCAAATTGTGGGACTGACCATGTAGTAAGGCAAGCGGCTTGCAAAACTCTAACGTAATCTCTATTAATGATTCATGGGATTGATTGCCTTCTTTTATATATATGATAGTTGGAAAAAAAAAAAGAACGTTTTGCAAGTCTAGGTGTAATATTCAGGTTTTCTGGGATATCTCATTCCCAAATTCCTGCTGTGCTTGATGAACATGTAAAATGCAGTGTAATTCTCTTTAAATTTTTCAAGCTCGTGTGTTGCCTGCCGCTCTGCCTTCGGAAGAGGCTGGAAGTGTTCCCGCTTCCTAAAGCTGTAGCTTGGTGGTGTTCAAAGAGGGGCTGGGCTGGGGCTGGGCTCTCCGGGCCTCAGAGGCTCCTGGGCGGTCGCCGTGTCCAAAGGAAACCTTTTCTGTCCCTTTCCTGCTGTGTCCCTAGGCTGCGCAGCAGGAGCACGGCCGTGTGTGGGTGCGGGACGCCAAGCCCACACAGGGTATCCATAGGAATATCATTCCATAAGGGGAAAAGCGGCCAGTTTCCTGCCGAGTTGGCCCGGAGCGTTTCCCAGGCTCCACGGACGGCTCCTGCGTGGTGCTGGCCCGGAGGGAAGCGCCGCCCGCCGCAGCCCCCGGCTTAATTGCATTAGAATTACTAATTGTGCGCGCCGCGTGTGGGGCTCCCTTGGCGCTGCCGCGGGCCGGGAGCACCGGGAATCTCCCTCCTGGAGCGCAGAGGGTGGCTGGGCCGGGGCTGCGGAGACACCACCGCCTTCGGCAGGGGCTGCGTGGGGCCCCTGCAGCCCCCGGCCCCACGGCGAGCGGGGCAGCAGCCCCCCAGCCCCACAGCGAGCGGGGCGCTGCAGCCCCAGCCCCACAGCGAGCGGGGCCCTGCAGCCCCACGGCGAGCGGGGCGGCAGCCCGGGGAGCTGCCGGCAGCGGCTCCCGCGCTCAGCGGCCGCCCTGGGGAAATGAAGGTGGCAGCAAATGAGCAGCAGGAGATTTAATTATCGCTCCGAGACCTTTCCCTTTCGGGCTCAGTGATCCTGAACGGCGGCGTTTCGCCGCAGCCTGTGCGGACGCCAAGCGTCGCTTCCCAATTTGTTCCTCCGCGCAATGATAAGCCAAGCAATTACTGGTGTATTGATTTTTCATCATGGCAAATTTAAAGTTGATTTTTCCCTGAAAAGGCAGGGGTGATTAAGTGTTTCCCCTCGGTTTAGTGCGAGGGAGCTGTGTGGCAGAATCTAATATCCTGAGGTCAACCTCGGCGGGCAGATAATCGGCGCCTCGGCCACGTGCTGAGGAGGGAAATCAGGACTCCAGATGCGATAGGGTACGTGTGGGGACGCTTTAATTTGCTGCGTGCGTGCGGCGCGCGGCATCTGCCTGGCGAGGCGCACGTGGCCAGGGCCCGGGAGGACAGGGATGCGCCGGGATGCACTGGGATGCACTGGGATGTGCTGGGATGCTCCGGGCTGCGGCCGGCCCCGGCTTTCCCATGGTGCGAGGGAAGGGGGCACCGTGCCCCAGGACCTGCCAGGCTCCGAACTGCGTTTTGGGTGGGAACTCTCTCGCTGGGCCGTTTTTAGCTTCTCTAAGCAGCAGTATCAGAAGTTCATAAGCAAAATTCTTCGACGTGTAGCTCGTTTTTGACTTAATTGTGTGAATAACGCACCGCTTTCCCAGGTCAGAGGCTCAGTTAGGCACGGAGACGTCACACGCTGGGTCCCGCATTGCCGAGGAGGCGCCGCGGGGGCCGGGCGAATCCTTGGTGCGCCCCACGCCTGCGCGAGGTGCCGCAGAGCCGGCGCTGGCACCGCCGCCGCCGCCGCCTTGTTCCTCCTTGTTCCTCCTTGTTCCTCCTTGTTCCTCCTTGTTCCTCGGGTTGCTGACGTGCCGCAGTTGGAAGCACGCGGAAGCCAAGGGAGGCGCTCGTGCCGTCGCTTGGGAGCAGAGGCTGTCGCTCGCTCGGAGCCCATCCACCAACTCGGCGTGGGCCGCCCCGAGCCCCAGCGCGGCTGAGCCCCGCGCTGCGCTCCCAGCCCCATTTACGGCCCTTCCTGCAAATTACAACCCTGGACATTTTCTTCAAGGTTTGAGGCACCTGAGAACCGCGGGCTGCTCGTGCACTTCGTTAACGCCGCGTGTTTCACCGACTTCTTTCTTTCCGCGGGCTAACGCGCCAGCCGAGAGCAGCAGCGGTTAAGGTAGTGGCATTGTAAAGCAATCACCTAATTAGTTACCTGAATTCAGTCACTTAAAAATAGAATTTATAGCTGCCTACTGAAAAGCTGCTTCCAGAGGGGCTGGAGGAGCCGGCGGCGGCGCCCTGGCTGCCCCCCTGTCCCGTGGGGCAGGGACGCCCCTTCCCATGCGGAATGCAGAGATCTATGATGCAGATGCCTCCGTGCTGCTGCCAGGCATTTTTCCCTGATATACAGCACTTATTTTTGCCTTGATTTAGCAAATGATCCAAAACGGTTAATGTTGAAAAAGTTATTTTTTAACAAGCCGCATCTTAGGGCTGCACTTTGCGTGCTGCCAGACACTCCAGTTCGGCACGGTGTGGGATAACACACTGCAAGGAGGGTCTTCATGGTTATTCCTTCCTCTGCGACAAAAAAAACAGAATTCTCCCGTAATCTGAGGCTAATTTATTCATTCGTTAAGTATTTCACTTAAATTCTGAGGTTCGGTCTTTAAATTTCCATTAATTTGCACTGTTTGGTCTATTGAGGTTTTCATTTGTCAAAACTGTTAGCTCTGGGGTATTAGTTACGCAAATATTGATGTGCAGCTTTGGCCTGGTGGCTATCAATTGAAATCAGAAAATCGATGGCCTTAATAGCTCCTCATTAGCGCGCGGCCGGGCCGGGCCGGGCGCTGCGGAGCCCGAGCAGGAGGCGTATGGAAATAACGGGGCGCACCCCTCAGCTCACATTCAAAGTGGCTCCGTGGATTTTAAGCGAGTTCATTGTTTGCAGTCAGGAAGGTCTGATTTGGGCCATAATCCTGCAGAAACAGGTGTGCTGGGTTACGTTCTCGCCGAAGGCTCCAGCCCGACCCCAGCGGCAGCGCGCACGGCCCAGGCCCCGGGCAGCCAGACACAGCGAGACGCAGCTCCGGGGTCGGCAGCGCTGTTCTCCAGGGAAAACGCAGGAAAACGGGTGTCCCCGCTTTGGTTAAGCATCCTGTCCACTGCACAGCAGCGGGCTGGAGGAGAAGGAGAAGGAAAGGAGCCCCCCGCGCTCCGTAACGCCTAGGATGAGTGAAATACAGACTCAGTTAACGATGTTTAAAGATGACATGGGCAATTATAACTGAAAGGTCAGGGTAGGTGGCAGTTTTCCCAAGCATGCAGAGTGCCAGAAAATCCCCCAAAGTACATATTTTAATTGAGTTATGTTTTCTTTCCTTCACATCGAAGCATTAAGGCATTACCCCATTCCTGGTTCTGTGCTCCTGTGATTTAACATGGCAAAATTCCCAGATCTGGTTTTCGACAGCAAAACCACATCATGCACCGGCCTCCGCCCGCGATGAAATACAGCGTGGTGCTCGCTCCCAAACACCGCGTCCTTCCTCGTTGGAGGCAAAAATACATCTAATAAACGGGGGAAAAAAAAATAATTCCAAAGGGGTGGAAGCAGAGCCAGGTCGGGAGGCGGGAAGGGATGAGGGCAGCGCGGCAACAGCTCCCGGCACAGGAGGTTGTTCCTGGCACAGGGATTTTCCCGGGCAGCCTGGACCGGGCCCTGCACTTTGGCCAGTGTCGTCTTGGTGTCTCCTAGTCTGGTGTGTTTGGGCTTCACTCCTGTTTGTGCTGGCTAAGGGCTGCTCGAGATGGGAGCTTTTATATATATATACATGCGTGTGTGTGTGTGTGTTATATTCTGTCGGTGCCGGACAGGTATTCAGCTGGAATAAAGGGTAACATCTGATCCGCCAGCGGGAGGTCTGGCCTGGGGAGCACCTAGAAGGACAAAAGACAGGACCAGAACAACCCCAAATTCCGCTGATCCACGCAGCGTTTCCCGTTCAGCCGCTGACTGGAGTTGCCTTTGGTGCTTGAGGGAGCCGAGGGGGCTCCTGGCGCCCAGCGAGAGCCGCTGGATGGGGTGAAAGCAACCCGTTAAGTTACAGGTTGTCGGGAGGGCGCCCGTGGAGGGGCCGGGGCCGCTCGCCCTGCTCCTCGCGGGCAGAGCCGGCCCGGAAACCCCTCTATGGATACGAACAGGGATAACAGATACGTGTCTGTGCTTAGTGCGGACAAATTGTTATGTATTACACATGTATGTAATATAGACACTCATCCGCCTGTACGGACAATATAGGGGTTATTTGGGATGCAGATATATAAAAGATAGAAGCAGCCAGTAATTGCCTTTAAGATCAGAGCACAAAGCATTACCTTGGATTTTACAAGGCCAGCGAGCAACAAAGAGCAGTAATTTATGAGCTCAGCGTAAAAGAATAGCATAATTGCATTAAAAATTAATGCTAATGAACACTAAAATGGGGAAGGTGGTTATGATGAAAGTTTGTATTCATCTTCCCCAGTTTGAATGATGGCTAGTGGCTTGATTAATGGCTTAATTTCTATCAATTAGCGGGGAAAAATCTCCTACGAGACAAGGGTAAATTGAGCATCGCGTTGCCCGGGTGGCTGCGGTGCGCGGAGCGGAGCTGCGGCGCCTGCCGCCGCGCTGCAGAGCGGCCCGGCCGCGGCCTTGGAGCGCGGCAGGGAGGATTCGCGCCGAGCCGAGCGGAGCCGAGCGGAGCCGAGCGGAGCGGAGCCGAGCGGAGCCGAGCCGAGCGCCCTTGGCCGCCCCTTGCTTAGTGCACGCGGTTCTCGTGCTGGAGGGACCCATTCCTTTTCTGGGCCGGGTTTGCAGGTTACAGTGACCACCACCACCCGGCCCGCGGGGAAGGCGCCGAAACGGGGAGCGCTGGGGGGAGCCCTCGAGTGCCCAGGTGCATGTATGTACACACCTGTAGATTCACCTTGGAGCTCCCTGGTGCACATATACCTATAGATTTACCTTCGAGCTACCAGGTGCATGTACATATGCACCTATAGATTCACCCTTGAGCTCCTTGGTGCACATACAGCCCTGTACATTGACCCTGCAGCTCCCGGGTGCACATACACCTATAGATTCACCCAACAGCTCCCTTGCGCACACATACACCCCCTCCTATACACTGACCCTGCAGCTCCCGGGCACACACACCCCTATACACTCCCTATACACTGACCCTGCAGCTCCCTATGGATTCCCCTCTGGATTCCCCCTATACACCCCCTATGGATTCCCCTGCCCCCGCTGCCCCGCGGCTTCCCCGGGGCCGCAGCGCCCCCTGGCGCCCGCGGGCGCCGCCGCTCCTGCCGCTCCGGCCCCGCAATCCCTTTAGCCCTAATTTTTATTGCCCATAGATCAGCCCCTGGAAAAGAGGAGCGGCCTCCACGAGCCCTAATGCCGTATTAAGTTTATTTTTTTCGCTGTAACGCAGTAAAAAGACTTGCTGTGCAGTGAGTTAGTATTGATTTTTTTTTGTCTATAGCCTCTTAGCTCTCCGACTCCATTATTTTTGATTTTACTATGAAATACATATCCTTCCTCCTGACATCTGACAAACAACATCTGGAAGCCATTCCGTCTACCAATAATGTGTTTGTCAAAACGCCGTGCGCTAATGGCTTCTGCTTCCTGCGCTCCCTTCTGCCCCGTTAATGCCCCTGATGCAATCCCCAGCGCCGCCGCGCTTCGGCCTTTGCTGCCGCGGTGCCCCGCGCGTCCCGTCAGCGCCCCAGCCCGAAACCAGTGCGCGAGGAGCGGGCAGGGGGTGCAGCCCTGAAAGGGAGCACGGACTGGCAGCACGAGGTGCAGAGGCGCCCTTTGCCAGTCGCTGCCGTGGGTGCAGAGGGGATTAACTGTGCTGCAAACCTCCGAGGAGCCCTGACCTTCCCGCGCAATTCTCCCGCTATAAATCCATCCTGTAAGGACTTTGTTTGCAAATTCTGCTGCGGGCATCTGGAATTACGTCACACATTGATCCATAACAGCCGACTCACTGCTGTTATTTCTGTCATGCAAAGGAGTTTTTCTCTGTACGGAGTACTTTAGCTTGCATTAAAGGCTGGTAGCTGGGTGTTTTTCCTGCTGGATGCTTCCTAAGTTGTGAAATGCATTCCAGGTTTTGCTTAGACATGGCATTTACCCCAGGCTTACACTAATGTGTCCTGACGTTGCACCTTCGCTTTCAGACCAAGCCACCCTAGTGGAGCAAGTCAAGCGGGTAAAAGAAATTGAAGCCATTGAAAGTGACTCCTTTGTTCCGCAGATGTTCAGATCGAGCAAAGACCTCAGAAAGGTAAGTTCTCAACATCCCTTCTTTGCGCATCAGCCTTTCAAAGCTGGGACACTGCTGGGGAGTTGCTGCTGGTGATCGCAGCAGTGTGGAGAGCCCCAACCCCACTGTGGGAGGCTGCGTCCGGGTGACGATTCCCTCAACGCTCCTTGGGGGTCAAGGAAGAACATGTTTAGATGGGCGAGAAATGAGATCAGCTGCTTCGACAGCATGTTTGGCAGTTCAGGTCATTTAAAGTGCTTTTAAACTCACATGAAATCGTGACATGTTTTTAAGGGAAAGCAGAATAACTAAAATACAAAGGTAATCATACATTTAGAATGTAACTAGAAGTCAGTATTCTTAACTCTGCTTAACCCAAGCCAAACATTAAAGCTGTATTTACTTACTGAAATAAACGGCCTGTTTTTCAGACAGCTTCCAAAGAGCAGACAAAATTAACTTAAGACGTCCAGGCTTCAAAATTTTACCTGTACGTTGGCCACTAAGTCTTCTAAGAGAGCCCAGACGTTTTTGTCTTTGGAGGAAGGCAAGGAAAGGGTTGGGGGGGGTTTACCCCTTTTTTTCCCGGTGTCACGTTTTAAATCATCCCTGTGTGTTTCCCCGTGGATGCTCACGCTGCTGTCCCTTGGGAAGCCTGTAAGAAGTTCCACAGGCTCTGCGGGAGGCGAGTGCAGGGCTGGCCGGGCCGTGCGGCGGCTCCGGCCGCGCGGGCCCTCCCGCCGCGGCACCCACGGGGCCCCTTCCTTCCCAGGGCACCGAGGCTGCCGAGCTGAGGCTGGAGCCTGGAGCGGGCGCAGCGGGAGCTGCCGACGCGGCCGCCCCTGAGAAGGAGGCGACGACGGCGGCCGCCATCCCTACCACCATCAAGTACCAGGACGATAACTCCTTGGCTCACCCCAACGTAAGTGTGCCCGTTCCCCTGTGTCTGCAGGGGAAAAAGAGGGTCCCCCGAATGACAGCAGCTCCGTTCGACCTAACTGACCTAACTGTTCCTGCGGTGCTGCTTAGCAAATAACGTGTGTGCTCAAGACTGCTTACTGATGAGCTGCTCATTGGCTCCAGAAGGATCCCCCCTCTTGCATAATCCACAAGAGGAAAAATACAGTCGCAGAGGGTTGCGTGCTTCTGGCTAGAAGCCAAATGGATGTGAGCAATTTTTTTCCCTTTAAAAAGGAATTCTATTCTTTTATACAACTCTGAGCTCTGATAAAAAGTGATGTAGTTTTAGCGTTACATACATGTTATGTATTTTAGAATGAAGTACTCTATTAATTTAATGACAGGAATTTAAAAATAAAAAAGTTTAAGAAATGATGCTCTTGGTTTATGGTTTGAAAGCTGATGGAGGACGCTGCATTCCCACACTTTACCCAATTCTAAAACTTTAACTTCATGACAGGCTTTTTTAAGATGAGATTTTTAAATCAAAGTAGTTAAGCTTATACAAATTCCTTTGTGGACACTTCATTGGAAATAAGAGTATCCACAGTAGATTTTTTTTTAATTAGCATGGTAAAAATGACTTACAGGAAACTCAGCTAAGTACTGAATAGCGAATGTGGCTGTTGAAGGTGCAAGCCCTACATGATACGACAAACTTGCCTTTTTTACTTAAGCACCCTTTAAAAGTGCTTAAAAGCTGTGCTTTTGCTAGCATTGAAATGGTTGCTACTTCTTTTATAACGCTATGACAAATCCAGATGAAGTTAACGGAGTTGCTCCTATTTTCCCCCTCTCCCTGCAGCTCTTCATTGAGAAGGCAGAAGCAGAGGAGAAGTGGTTCCAGAGGCTGATGGCGCTGCGGCAAGAAAGGCTCATGGGCAGCCCGGTGGCCTGAGCGAACTGCTGGGAACGTCGTACAGAAATGCCCCGTGAGGCCTAGAAATCCTACCCTGACATTTATTTTTCCCTTTTCATGGGATTTTAATACTCAGTGAGTGGTACCGAGAACAAGTATTTCATCTGAATAAACAGGAATGTTCCATCATCCGTTTTTTTCCTTAATTCATTACAGGGTCACTCGTACTGCTAAGCTACCTGCTGCTGCAGGGAAGGGGATCTTGGGGGTGTCATTTGGTTTGGTACTGAATTTCTCTGTGCAGAAGACCAGAAGACTTGATGGATCAACCCCCCAAAAAATACCATTCTATACCTACATCTATATCCATAGCCTGTCCAAGAAAGTTCAGATTGAGCAGAGCACAGATGATACACCTGGGCCACCGGATCTTGTGCAGCGGAGGAAGGATCCAGGGCCAAGGTTATTGCTGTTTCCTTTTCTTTGGTCGCTTTTCTCCTTGCTGCACTCACCTGCCTGCTCCAGACTGACCCTGGTTGCTTACGTTGGCCGTCTGAGCGCAGTGTCACCTTTGCTTTAAATTCACCCAAGCATCTACCTGCTCCTGTCAGGATACAAGAGATTCAGCAGATGTAACTAAAAATCACGTTATGCTTTTAAACAAATTGGTGGGAGTTTTCAGAAGGTTTCAGTATTTCCTAGTTAGTTTTAAGAACAATAAAATGATGAATATTCTGGAATATGGGGCACATTTAATGGCAAATACTATAAATATTACTGTGTGCATTGGTAGGAACTTTTATTGAACAAAACTAGTGGCATATCCAAACGGAGCAACTCTCTTTAGTATATGAAGCTCCCATTTGTCAAAGTAAGGCTTTAAAAGAATGAATTCTGTCATGTTTGGGCTACCCTCCAGTTTGTCTCACAGGCACCAGTCAGTGTATGAACATCAAACACCATCCAAACCAGGAAAAACCAAAGCATTTCTGCCAAGTTACCAGGCAAATCCCCACATCTGTGGGAAAACTAGAGTATCAGTGGAAGATTAAAATAAGTCTTGCAGTTCTGGACATACATCATTGGAAATTACATCAGTTTTGTGCTTGAATGAAGAACTTCCTACTCTTTTTCTAATGTTACTTTTCCTTGTTCTTGGATTTGTAGTGAAAAAATGGACAGTGCAAATACATCTTAATGGTCATCTTATTGCCTAATGATGTGAAAGGAAGATCTCTTAAAAATATGCTGGAATGCAAGATTAACTTTTCTTAACAGTCTTAGTTTTACTGGGTTCTTAAAACCCGGTAATTAAAACCCAGTAAAACCCAGTAAAGCCAGTTTTACTGGCTTTAAAATAGGTATTTAAGTTTCAAGACTCTTGTCTGCAACTAAAAGGAAAAAAAAAAAAAAAAAGAAAAACACCTTTCTGAATTTTCTAATGGTAAAATAAATAACTATTCTGTTTCTAATCTCCTTCTATGTGTCCTTAATAGGAAATAAAAGTGCTATAAGATGCAGGGTTATATCCTCTTTTTTAAACACTGTCAGATAGTTTTAGTATTTTTATTTTGTGAAAAATGTTGTCTTTTATGTAATTTGCAATTCTATAAGATATTTAAATGTTCTAAAACCCAGCCTGTTACAAAGAAGTGAATGGTGACGAGTTAGTGGTGACAAGATGCACCAACTATTGCTCATCTAAAAACAGTTTGTCCAGCAAGTCCTTGCTGGAGGAGAATTGTGAGCAAGATCTGAATAGAAAATGGAAATAGCGTCCAGATCATCTGTTGTAAACAGAAAAGCTAAATAGTTAAGTCCTGTAGTGACATATTCCAAATGTAACTTGAGACACAGAGCAAATCATTGTTTTACTGATTTTTGTAGTTCCAGTTGTAAATCAGCAATCAGAATAACCAATAAAGTTGTTCTTGAGAATGCCATAGTTTTAATGAAATACATAAGTTATTTTCTTCCCCGGGGTCTTTGTGGAAATAATTAATTTGAGAAGCCACTTTTTCTATTTTAGGGCTTATATTATGTCATCCTGTCCCGACTCTTACTTTGAACATTCATTACACGTACTTGAAGTCTATGATGCTGTGGTGTGGGAGAAGGAATGGTGAGGAAGGGGCACGTTGTTTTCTACTAGATGCCATCTGTTACAAATTAGAAAATAAACCATTTTTGTTATTTAGCCCAAATCTGCAGATTCGTACAATACAGATTTTTCCCTAAGCAGGTCAGTGGTGCTTAAGCCTGGGTAATTGAGCTGGAGCTGGAGGTCATGTGGAGCAGACTCTGACAGTCCTAGCGAGGCCAAATGCTGCTCGCAGAGATTTAATCTAATTGTGCCGGATCTCTTGTTGTTGTGGCTAAGCTGAGCGCTCGGAGCACCCATCCTGGTAACACTCGTGGTCTTTGGCCAGATGCATTTGCATTGACGCCCGGAGCTTCCTGCTGCCCGGCCCCGTTAAGGGTGTTGCAGGACTTGCTGTTCTGAGGACCCTCTGTGATTAAGCTAGGATTAAACTTTGAGCAAAAAGAGAAGCTGCTCTGCTCTATAGTGGAACAAAGTCTATTTAGGGCCAGTCCATAGAGGGGCATCGTTGTTAATTATTAGACTGTCCTCAACTCAAGTTGTGTAAATTCTCTTTTTCCTTATTTTGCCTTTACTTGAACAGTGTCTCGGAAATGATTGAAATAAAGCTATCAAAATAAAGTTATAATTAATAATTATAAGCATTGATTATTAAAGTATTCATAAGCAGATACTGAGTCCTTGAAATGATATAGTTAAGCAGGCAAGAACATCAGAACTGAACTTCATTCCATGACCAGCTATGCAAGAATAAGGAGAATCTTAAAAAACTTCGTGATTGAAATTATTTACAAGACTTGGTACATTTTGGCAGCTTGTTTTGTTGTGTGTTCCACTTTTTTTCTAGTGAACGTTATTGGATTCCTGATTAGGGAGAAGGAAAGGAATAGTGGTTTGTTACCCAGCTAGAACGCGGGGCTGTTAAATGTGGTGTGCGGTTTTAGGGCTGCGGTGAGCAGTAACACCGAGTTCCTCGCGACACCAAACTACCTTAAATCTGACCTAGACGAGTGGTGTGTAGGAGGGAAAGGATAATGCTGAAACCTGATCCATTCCACTTGTGCTAGTCAGCAAAGACCTCTACCCTTAGAAATTACATTAGCAAACTCATTTCACTTAGCCTACTGAGCAGCCATCGTCAATTAAAATCAAACTAGGCTGATCCTGATTTGATAACTTTTAGGTAAAATGTCCATTATTCATTTCTGATATCTGGAGTCATCTGGCATCTACATAATTATTTTTATTAGGGTAACTGCTTGAAAATTAGTTCTGTTTCTGTTACAATTATTGTTACAATAATTTAGAAAGATTTGTACCAGTAAAATAATGGTATCTCAGAAAACACTGCCTGTCAGGAGTAGATCAAATTTTGCTACTTCTGCGTAACCATCTGAGATATGAACTAGGAGTGAATAGACCTGAAGGCCATTTTTCCATCAGTAACCCAAAACCAGCCTTCTCATTGATTGCAGTTTTCCATTTGTCAGGTTACAAGAGGCAGGTTATTTTTAGTGGAGATCCTTGAACTCTTAAAACCTGGCTCAAAAGGGATCATCTTGAAGCCATTAACTTAATCCACCTGTGACGCAGCATCGCGCTTCTGTGATCCCTTCAACTTGCAGCAGGAATAAAACTAATATCCCCCAGAAGGAAGGGAAACGCCTTAGTGCCTAATGGGCATTACCTCTCCATCACCTCAGCTCCAAACTAAGAGCGGCCCAATTTGTACGTGCCGTGAAAAGGCTGGATTCTTCCTCAGCCTCCCAAACCTGTGAGCTGGTCCCTGCTGCACTGTGTGCTCCTGCTGGGAGCAGGGGGAAAAGCCCTATAAGGAGTATGAGAGGAAGTATGGCACAAATTGTCAGCTGCGGTCACCACGTTCCAATGTAAAATCCTCATTCCCACTAGATGTCCCTCTAGTCCCAAAGCAGGGAGGAAGGAAACCTCAGCGGCAGCCTCAAAACAGGGGGCTGTGGAAGAGGGGTGCACGGAAGCAGAATTTGCCTTTCTGCTCCTTAATCAGGGCTGAAGTTAAAATAGCATGAAAAAGCAGGTTATCTAACAGCTTTCTGTACGACCTGTTAGCATCTAAATCGTTACGGATAAAAATATTAATCAGACAGGTCAAAGCCAAGCATTTATCCTAAATTCAGTGCAATCCGTGCAGGACATTGCAGGAGAAGAAAAGAAGAATATTCTCTCGCCTCACCTGTTTGCGGAAGGCGCTGATGGAGCCGCCCGCCCTGGCGCCAGGCCGCGGGGCCCGGAGCCGCACGGAGCCTCCGGCACCTCCTCGGGAGCCGCGGGAGCCGCTGGCACCGGCGCCCGCTCCGGGCTTTCAGGCTGCACTCTGAAAGGAAGACATTCAGGAATGTCATTAACTGCTATTAAAGTGTTATTAATGGCAATTAAATACACCTATCATTTCTAAGCGTGTTGGCCTGCCTTTCTGGATACCTTCGCAGTGAGTTTCTGAGTATCTCTTCTATAAATTGACATTTTATTTCATTATGCATGCAAGTTACAGAGCTCTGTGACTATTTGAATTGATTATGTATTTAAATAAAATATTAATATAAATGTTGTTATTACATGTCGACCTCTGGTTGCTTATAGTGGAATCCTAATTTTATCTGACATTTATGAACAATTTATAATAAACTGTCTGTGCAAAACCCTCTGCGTTGGGCTGATGTTATGGGTGGAATGTAATCAGCTGTTTAACAGCACTGTGGAAAGACCATTTCTAATACAAATTTGCATCTTTAAGCCTACCTTTAAAGAGCTTAACTGTAAAAACGTAAGGAGACCTCATTTATGCCAATGCACTTCACATTTAAATAGTAACTGCTGATCCTTATAAAACTGACGGGGAATTGAGAACTGATTGTCCAAGTCCTCTCAAATTACCTTCAACCTTGGTTCTGACATTGCCCATGGAAATGCACAGCCCGGCGCTCATCGGCGCACCCACGTAACCTACTAGCAGTTCCTCCAAAAGAGGCCATAAAAAAGGCCTATTTTTAATATACTGATTCTCAGTACTTTGAACAGAACTACAACTTTTCCTACACTTTTGGAAGCTGGAGGCTGCACCAAAGGTAATTAGAAGTAATTGTGTAATAAAAGCTGACAGTATTTCTTTGTGTGAACAGATGAAAACTAGTTCAGACAATTACACGTTGCTTTACATGTGAAACTAGTCACAAACTGTGCTCATTTCTGAGGTGCACAAACCTGATGTTATGATAACCTGTGCACTTAATACACTTTTTTCTTGAAAGTCTGATCTAAATATGACTTCAGTATCATCTGCTAAGCTAGCAGGAGGGTTTTTTTCCAGTTTAAGAGATGCCAAATGTTTGGTGCCTTGGCCGTTCGGCCATTGGGAATGCAAGATGTGATTGCAGCAAGTCCCTGAATTCAAGTAATTCAGGAACAAAACCCCTCTGCTCCCTAATACTTAAGCCCCTGCTGCCCAAGTTTTTATAAATCAGTGGCTAGCAGACACAATGGCAAGAGACCATTTAAAACAAACACTAATTCTGGATCAAATCCTGGTGTCACTGGAGTCAATGATAAACACTCTTACGGGGGTCAGGTTTTGTTTTTAAGAATGAGACTCTGTTTGTTTATATGCCTCCCTTTTCACCATACTAAACAGCGGAAGAGGGAAAAGTAGCAAAATTAGGACCGATTAAAACAAATGCTGTTTCACTAATGAAAACTTAAATTTTAGGATTCGTTAACACAAGATGTAATCAAAGTAAAAAGCAACTTTTAAATGGATTTATTATATAGTGAGATTTGAATTACTTCAAAGACTTCTAGAATAGTTCTAGAAAGAAATCAAAACGTATCCTGCCAGTCTGTGACAATGACAACATATTCTAAGGGCAGGCTGTGTCACGTACAGCTATTGTGCACTTTCTGGTAGTTTCTTATAAAGAAACTTGTAAATAAGACACTGAACATCAGACAGACCTCACGGGCTAATACAATTTGGCAATTCCTACATTTCTTACATTTTATAAAACAGTTATTAAATAAAGTGGATAAAAAGCTCAGATTTTAGAAAGGAGGCACTCTCATGTGAACAGTAGTGGATCTAGCAGAGTATATTTCATCAGTCCTTTTGATTCACAGTCTGTGACAGAAAAACAGAAATCTCATCCTTTTTCACAGTTGGGATTTTAAAGATAAGGGAGACATCACATACAACTGGCACAACCTGGTGCTCTCTATTGCTGTCTAAATGATATTTGTTGCCCTGATAAGAGCATGCCAGCATAACTTATGAATTTATAATTTACTGATGTATAATTCATGTGTGATGGGAGGAGGCTGGTCTGCAAGTTACACATGGAAGGTTATGGAGAACTTGCAGGAGTCGGTGACGCTCCCAGCCGCAGCCAGTCCCACTGCCTGTGCTCCGTTGTGTGCACGCCACAAAACTTGGTCCTTACTTGCCAGCGTTGGAAGTACAAGGTTTGGAACTGCCTGGATGCATGAGTTTCAACTGTAGCATATGCAAAAAATATAAATAAATTACTGTTTATCAACTTCAATGCCAAACAATAGCCTTTAAGGATACTCCCCAAATGTATAGAGGCTATACTATACTGAGGAATGTTTTCTATCACAGACTGTTGGATGGGAGAAAATGAAAGATTTGGGGGATAACAGCAGAACACAAAAAATAGCTCCTATAAAAAGCAGGAATTATATTCCACAATTTATACATGACATAAAATACGGCTCAGTTTATCTACTTAAGGCTGACAATGCACTTCTGAAGGGTATTTTATATTTAAGCAAAAGCTCTTAGATAGAAGTTTGGTTTACATTTCCCTATGGTTTTACATCTGTCTCTTCCCGTTTACTTCATTAGGGTTATCCCACTTTTAAAGCAGCTGAAGTTTTATCAGTGACAGACGTTGCCTACATGAAGAGACTGACAAGTTGTCTCTCGTTCAGATTTGATTTCAATAGAAAAGTCTCCTTCTCCTGTTGAGCTAAAGAGCAGTCCTTTTTTTTCTTGGTATTTTCTTTCTATAGGCAAAGCTGGGCAGTGCTCTGATAATCAAAATAACCTGAAGGGAGTGACAGACAATATGACTGAGAAATGGTCGTCCTCTACAGCAGACTTTTACATTAAAAACTGCTAAAAACTTCCCTGTGTCCAGATTAGACTTTATTAAGATGTTTCGGCATTTCCTCCTCCTGAGGCTCGGCAGACCGCAAATTCCTAAAGATGGTATAAATTAGAGGGAGAGGGGAAAGGAAGAACAAAAATAACAGAAAATGCAGCTAGCAATATTCTTCTTTGCCCAATACTCTCAGAGTGATTTTTGGCTTTCGTTCTCACAAACCAGTTGCTGGCTGGAACTCGGCCTGGGTAAACATCTATGCGGTAATCCAATTTTCACCTCCAAGTGTTAAGCATCCCCACTGGTTAAAAACAATCCTTGCAGAAAAAGCAATAGCTGATGACTATGCAAATACACAGACAGAAATATCTCCACATTTCCCAGTAACTGCACTACATGTTCTTCAGATATTTTAGTGTATTTTATATAGCTCTGCAATTCTAAATAATTTGAGCATAATTTATTTTATTTTCAGCTTCACTATAATTGATTTGTGCTCTGCATGGAACAGAAAACACCAGCCAATGTGAAATATGAAAAAGAGGTCTATGAAAAAGAGCTACTCAGCATGAGGAGTTAAGATGGACAGAAATGTTAGCAGCAAATGTTTTGGGCAGAAACCTGAGCAAACATCTATAAAACAGAGCAACAATAGAGAATTATAAATACCAACAAGATGTCAATATGGCAAAGTGACCTTTTGTTCTCAATGAATATGTTCAACAAAGCTCTGAAGTCTGAATCAGATTTAAATAGTCATATCACCAAAATGAATAAGAATTAAGAAGGTAAATTAATTCCTAAGGGAAATCACTGTAGATCTCATTAGTTCAGGAACAAGATACCTTAAAACTTTTAATTAAAGATAATATTTACAGCAAATGAATAAGAGTTGGCAGGTTTCAGCACAAACCATAATCTCATTTATGCAAAGTTTTCTTATATTAAGGCAGACATCATTAATCTCATTGGAGATGCCCTCCAGACTGACAGCGCTGCAGCACCGAGGTGATTTCTTACAGAAGCCTTTTTATCTGCACAAAAGAAATGTAACTCAAGCAGACACAAACCACAAAAAGGCCGGAGCAATTAGAGATATCACTCTGTGCAAATAGACTACGGACTTTATCATGTTAGCGAGCTGCTCGTAATGAGCTCGCTTCTAACAGGGCCCATCTCCCCACGAGCAGCTGAAAAATTAACAGTACCTGGACCTCGTATTGCCTGGTTATCTGTGCGGTAATCCAGTCATCTCTGGATTGTCCCCGACTCGGAAAGAAATTTCAGCTTTCAGAGTCCGAGTTCACATACAATTAAATAGCAAACTGTAGGTTATCTGATGTGCGCCGAACAGCTGTTGAAGGCTCCACATCTCCCTTTTACAGTTATGCTAAAGAGGTAAGGCTATAATATATATATAATATGTAAGGCTTTCTGCGCAAGACGAATCATACAAAGGCAAAACTGCACAAAACTCAACCTTTCTATATTTTTATAATATTAGAAAAAATACTTTCTGTGTTCAGAACCTGTCAAATAGACACTGTTAAAACACCTATTTAGTTAGCTTTTGGTAGAAGACTCCAAACCAAGGTAACCACTCTGGAACAAATATTTTGGGAAGGTGAAACACCAGGAGGGTAAGAAATCGCAAGTTTTTGTCTCCCATGGGCTAACTATGCTAAAGAAAACTCACCTTGCTACGCTGTCGCAAGGAATATACACCCATTCTAGCATACCATGCCATGTATATTAATGAACTGTAATAAACAATAGCAAAACCAAACTGCTCCAGGGCATCTGTATAATAATCACGGTCTAATGACATGTAATTAATAAATGAGCCCTGAACACAAAGCTGGCCACTTTGGTATAGAAACAGTGTATTGCATTTCCTACCTTCAAAGGAATTTTAAAGTCCATGGATTAAAAGACTAACCAGGGTGTGAAGTACAGTGTTAATACAACATTTGTAATATTTTTTTGAGCAGTTTGAAACAAAGGTTGAATTCTGACTCCGAGCAATAAAAAACGTTCTTTGACAACATCGTCACTGGCAGGAGATTTCGTTAGCAAGAGCCCCAAAGCACCAGAGTTCCCTTCCACGCCCGCAGCCTGATTTGCTTTATTTGCTAATCTTTCACCAGAAATGCACGGGCAGGTCTGGGGCCTCCCTGGAGAATCCCTGTGCGGCCCTTATCCTGTCACCCTTCCCTGCCCACCAGTCAGTCAGCATCCCCATCCCCACCGACCCCACGTCCAAGCTCGGCGCGCACCGTGAGGCCGCAATATCACCACTCGCCAGGATCTAGAGAGAAGTGTACACGAGCAGACAGCAAAATCAATGCTCACCTGATTACTGATATTTTTCACAAATATTGCAGGCTCGGTTCATTCATCTTTTATGTCGGGTTTCCACTTTGGTCCCAGCGGCAGCGGAGCTGCTTCTGCAGCACCAAGGATCCTGGTGGAGCTGGGTGCCTCCCGTGTCCCTTGCCAAGCGGATCCCGCGTGGATCTGCTTCCAGGGATGCCACGGAGATACTCCGATGCTCTCTAATCCCACCTGCTTATCCCGGGCACATCTTCTCTCTCACTCCTGAATTCTGGAGCACTGAAATAGAGGAGGGAAGAAGGAGTTTCTCCTCAGCCTCTCAATACACGATGCAGACAAGCTAATAAACAACCCATCTCTGAAAGAACTTTGGCATCCACAAGAATTTTTGCAGATAAATATACTTTTTTTTCCCCCCATAATTCTCCCATTTTAGGAAGAATGGAACTCAGATTCCCACACAACTGAGTCTCCCAGACTCCTCCTGCCAAAGTTTACACCTAAGCAAAGTTTTTATACGCGCACCCCACACGTTCACCACCACCCCTCCACTTCAGGATAAAGGGGTAACACTTGCTCCACTCGATCACTGAAACCCTCCTTGGGCCGTGCCCAGGAGCCAGCTGAACAGGAGACAAAGAACCAGTGTTCCCCCTTTTCCGTTTGCACAGCAATCCCAGCCATTCCCCCGGGAGCAGTTCAAGGGTAGGGAACGCCCCGCTGCTCAGGACTCTGGAAAGCCGGGAGAGCCGATGGGTCTGGGCAGCCCTAAGGGGAGCACAGTGAAACGTAACCCTGGTCTATAAGGCAAGAGCCACCCGCCGCTCACAGCGAAATGACTCCCGGCTTTGTTAGATGTTACTGGAAAAAAAAAAACATATGCACCATGCATTTTATACATATACATGTGTATGTGTGTATTATCTATGTGTGTATCTGTGTGTGTATATATATATCATATATATACAAACACATATAAAAACACATATATGTGTTTTTAATGCAAGCTGTTATGCTTTTCACCAGACTATCACTTTTCTTCCCTTCGGCAAATGCTGTCGAAGACCGTTGTCAGAAAACCGTTACTCAGAAACCGTTTTTTTTCCCCCAAAACAGCTTGGAAACGGGCAGGGCCGGCCAGGAAGAGCAGTGACTTTATGTTACTGCCACCTAGCGGGGAATAAAACTCAATTATTTCCTGGGATCGCCCGTTTCCCCGGTGTCCCCGCTCCGGCCGGGTCAATGTGCCGAAACCTTCATTTATTACTCGTTTTCACGCCAGAAAGCACTGTGTGTACACGCGTATGTGTTAAACACTAACTATTTTCAAATATAGTTCCAAGGATTCACTATTCGACGCTTCTACCCGTGCCTTGATGGACTGCGTCTCTCTTTCGAAACGTCCCCCTCTCCACGCGCTGGGAGCCCGCGGGGTATCCCACGGAAAGCGCGGGAAAAGCCGGCCGAGGCCGGTACCGGCCGGTTCCGCCCGGAACCTTCTGGAACCGGGCCGCACGGCGCGGCGTCGGTTGCCACGGCAACCGCGGCTCCTGTGTAGCGTCCCGCCCCGCGGGGACCAATGGCAGCGCCGGAGCGGCGTCACGTGGCGGGGAAGGGGTGGGGGATCCGCGTGCGGGGGGCTGCGCGTCTGCAGAGCGCGCGCGGCGCCGCCGGGTGAGGAGCTCCGGGTGCAGCCATGTTCGGGGGCTTGGGGCGCTGCTTCGAGGAGGACCCGTTTTTCCGGTGAGGGGCCTCGCCGGACCCCGGGGGCGGCAGGGGGCGCCCGTTGGGATGGGGGCTTCCCGCCTGGAGGGGCTGCCGCTGCCGGGGGGCTTCGGCGCCCGGAGCCGCTTTGCCGAGGAGAGGCCGTTGGGGCTCCCCGAGGGGGTTAAATACCAAAGTTCGGGGTTTTAGTCCCCTTCTCGCTAATGCTCTTCATTTTTTTCCTGCGTCGCGTTGCAGCACGGCGCTAGCCTCACCGGGATGCGCGTTGGGAGGAAGGCGGCGCCGTTGGTGGGAGCTGCTTCACTTCTGTAGTGTCTTTAACGGCTTCCATAAAAGAGAGACTGACTGGGTGTTCTAATTTCCGCGGCTTTAAACGTATTAATTCATTTAGAAGGCTGTTATTGAGCACCTGTTGTGGATGTCTGATACATGCAGCCCTGGGTGGTGTTTTTTCGTTAAGACTTTGCAAGCGCCTGTGTGCGAAAACACCTGAAGTAGTTAATGGAAAACGTCTCTTTTTTTGAGAACTTATTTGCAGAACATGTTGACACATCAGTTAGGCAGAAGGACTTTTCTGTTTCTCTTTCAGGAGCTCGGTGATAGTGCTTTAGTGGTTGGTACGTGTGCATACTTAGGCAACAGAATTAGTTTAATTTCCTGTGGGAACCCTCATTTGCTTTGGGAAGATGGGCTTAAATAACAGGTGCTCCACTGGGGTGTTGGGAAAGCCCAAAAGTTTAAGCACCTGGTTTAACCTCCAAATTACACGGCTTGTCAGACACTCAGTTGCAGCAGGGAAGGACGCAGGTGAGTACTCATAGGAGCCTGTAATTTTTTTTTTGGATGTGGTATTTAGCATGTGGAGCTTAATTACAAGCTAAGTGTGATTCCCGTGGGTGGACAAGGAAGGACAATGCAGCGGGGCTTGTGCCGTGGGTTTGTTGACTCCCTAATCTCCTGGTTACAGGATATTCTAGCCGGGATTGCCCTGGTTGCTCTGAGGAGCTGCCTCTCTGCTGCAGAAGCACCTTCTTAGCAGTGGGAAGTATGCTCAAACTTTGAGTGCTCTTGGTGGGTGGGTTGTTAAAACAGCACGTGTGTTGTTGTCAGTTACACCCAGGAAACGCTGCAGAAAATCCCCTTATGTGAAGTGAAAATAAAGGTGAAAATGCAGTTTACAGTCACCTGCATATTCAAAATACACTTTCATGATGCTCTAAAATATCAGTTACTGTTCTCTTGCTTGTTAATTTTTAGTGTAGCCACTGGTACAGTTAAAGATTGGAGGGAGACGTTGCAGCAGCTAGAAGGGAGCATGTGTGTGCAAGTAATGTGTCAAGTGCAGGGAAGGGGCTGAGTGATGTTCTAGTGCTGTCCTGGTGCATCTGTCTTGGGGAAATGAGCTTACTGCTTTATGTAAGAAGATGATCTTCCAAAACAGTGTAATGCTGGTGTTCTGTTGCCTCGCAAGGAGAGGTTTGGCTGTTGCACTGGGAATAGTGCCCAGGTTAAAAGCAGTGTCTCCATCGTGAGCATCTGTGCTGGCAGGTGCTGCTCCGTGAGCCAACTCCATGCTTCCAGGGCCAGCTGAGCTTCCCCCAAGAGCTGGGACAGGTGGAATCTCCTCTGCCAAGTGCAGTTGTCCCGTGTTATGGTTTGCCATTGCACAGGTTTTGTTACAGCTCCAGGTGTTATATTCAATGTGCTTCTGCAGCTTTGAAGGATGCTTTTTTTGAATTAGGAAGTTGAATGATGTGAAGCACAATTTTCAGAAAGTATGGACTGAATTTCTTCTAAGAGACTGGTTTTTCTGCTGAACAGAAACATAGAATGAAGGAAGGAGGAGCCATCATTTTGTTACTCCAGCATAATTGCTTTCAGCTGGAATGTAGAACATTAAACTTAAGAAGTTGAACCTGAATCATGCAGGAGCTAAACTTGACAACTGATGTGTCTGCTAGTACTGCTTCTTACTGTGTGTTAGCGTCTGCCTTTTTAAATAGTATTCATCTGCCTTTTTAAATATTTTTAATATTGTCTTTTTTGTATAGTTGTATTTGTTTTATATCTCAACAGCCTTGGAGGCTGAACCTCTGGTTTGCTTTAGTGATCCCTTCCACTATATGAATGTCAAGTGAAGGTCAATTTAACTATCTGCTAATGCAAATTCTGTTATTGCAAAATAACAGAACAGCAAATATATGAACGGTTGGTATTTCCCTTCAGAATTTAGGAACTAATTTATGGTGGTTAGTGTGTTTAAGACACTAAATCAATGTGCCAAACCCTTCTAAAAGCTTCATTCCTTTCTCCATCAATATTATGGGACAGTAGTGCCAAGCGTGTAGAAGTCATGTGTCAATCTCTTTTTAAAACAAAAGAAGAAGAAATAATAAGAGATACGCTGATACTTATACGTACAGCTATCAGATTCTTTAAATGAAAGGTGAATGACCAACAAAAGTTAGCAGAGAAATGAAAATAAGGCAAAAAAAAATCAGAAAATATCAACTTTATTTCTTAATTCTGATGGTCTTTGTTCCTGGGTAATGGATTAAACACTACTCAAGTGCCAGTGTACTTCCAAACAATCTCCTCTGGCACCATCTGAACTTGTTTTTATTAATATATAGGCACTACTGTAACTTCATGGTGTGTTTATGTGCTTCCCTGATCTGGGCTTGTGCAGCAGTTTTGCATCTGTTCTTCATCCCCTGGAAAAACAAGGGGGCTCTTGCTGTCTGAGAGCTGCTTATCACGTTGAATTGAAGCTAAAGCAGGCAGTCATGTGAGTAGGATAGATAGGCTCTGCTCATGACACTGGAAAAAATACTTGTAAGCTCTAATGGTCTGTCTGCCCGCACTGACTGGAGTATGTGCATCGCCTAGAGGGATATTGTTGGGTTACAGATCTCATTGGAGAATTAATCCAGTGTTGCAAGTGTAACTTTGTTTCTATTTGTATGTGTGTGTATCTATCTCTCTATATATATTTAAGGGAAATGAAATGCAATGTCATAACAAGAGGCACAAGAAGAGATGGGAGTTGCAAACTTTCATAGGGCTGCGGATGGGCCCGGGGGAGAGGCAGGAAAAGCTATTGAGGAGACAGTTGGGTATTGGCCAAGTTAGAGGAGCAGCCTGAAGCTTTTCCTATGTGGAGGGAGAGGTTACGTTATAGGAAAGGCTGTAGGGGCATGAAAGGTCTGGGGAATGCCAAGAAAGGGGTGGGAAGGGAGATGAGGTGCTATGAGCCAGAGTAAACAAATGTAGGAAGTGGCTGTTAACATTTCTGAAGTGGTTTTCAGTGAGGTAGCAAAGGCAAACGTTAAAAGGGAGAAGAGAGAAAATAAAGTCTGTGGGGTTTTTTATTTTTTTAAATCCCCCTTCGCTAGACCATAAGCAACAGTACTGAATGTATACTATGATTCTGCCAACATCGTATTTTACTCCTTCTGGCCTCAGTTTGAACTCTAGTTCTTTGCAAACTAGGGAATGCAAAGAATTAATTAACAATGGGAGCGGTGGATGCAATGATTTGCTTGCAAGCTGAGCTTAGGATTTATGGTGGAATTTTATAGCTGTTTGGAGACAAAAGTTGAGTGTTAGGAAGGAGGAGAAAAGAAACAAAAGCTCACAGGGAAAGCAAGAAAGATGGTGAGAATTTTTCCATCCAAGTGGAGAAGAGGGATACCAGCACATTGGGAACTGGGGTAGTGAGGATGCAATACTGGGTCATAAAATAAAGCTGGCTGGAGTTCAGTGTATGCTATTAATTTTCAAGCATGTGGGTTCAAGAAGATTAAAAGTAGGATGGAAGAGTAGAAAACCTGTGGAAAACCTCTTAGCAGGAAAGGTTAAGATCAGGAATAATCCACCATTAACCTCTGCTAGACCAAAGCACAGGGGAAAAAGTGATTATCTTAATTTCAGGGGCTGCAGGTAAAAGAAATTAAAGGTAAAACAGATCACACTTCAGTTTCTGGCAAGTTGCAAGTGCATAGACTGGAGTGAAAGATGACTGTGAAGGATGGAAAACTTCACAAAATAAGAAGAAATAGGAGTGCGAAAGAACATGAGAGAGTAATTAGGAGTACTCTCATGAGAGAGTAATGAGGAGTAATGAGAAGACAAAAGGAGTAAAAAAAGCCAGCTAACCTGAGATGGGGGAAAAAGTGGAAGTGAGAATAATTGAGGACAATGACTCTCTAATTAGGTTCAATTAAAATAACAAATGCAAGTAGAACACCTTATGGAATGATTTAAAAATCTATTTTAAATTATTTTGTGACTGTTTTACATAGCTTGAAAGAACATCCGCTAACTTTCAGTGTGGAATGTCTCTTTTTTTCAGGGATCCCTTTGCAGCGCATCATGAATACATGCGCCAGATGATGAGAAGTTTCTCCGATCCTTTTGGAAGAGATCCATTCCTCAGCATCACGGACAGTAGGGAGAGAGCGGTAGAGCAAAGATCGCGCCATGAGTCTCAGGTTGCTCCAAGAGGAAGTCGCAGAGTAAGATTTGGGGATTTTTTTCTTTTGTTTTTTCTCTAGGATTGTTAAATAAAGTTTATATTTGCTAGGAATAGATTTGGCTTCATATTTGCATTTTGGCTGATATTAGTCCTAAGCAGGCCTGCTTAGCTAGGTCACTTTTATCATTCTCAATAAAATGTGAATGATACTTCTTAATTCTGTAATGGTCAAACATTTAAGCATCTACTTTGACAAGTTTGTTTCCGTTAAAACTAATAACATAATAAATCTGCTAGTAAATATTTCTAATAGATGTTTAATAAATATTGTGTATTAAATGCTTCTATTGCAGATAGGCTTTGAAAAAGTACAAGATGGTCTTCTCTGAATGTCTGTTTCCTTTTTATATTTAATGGGTTTTTTATGTACTTTAAAGTACCCTAGTATATATTTTGCCTTCACTTTGGACTTCAGGGTCTTGTCAGTTGATTATGTTAAGGTATTATTAATCCATTAGAATGTTGAGCTCACAAATCTTGCTAATGGATTTTAAGCACTTGAAAATCCACTGTTAACAGTTTATGGTCTAGCAAATCGGCAAAAGATAGAGTCTCAGGCACCAGGTATAGTTTATCTTCATCAGAGTATGGAGAGCTCTGCAAATTTTATTGAGATAATCTGCAGAAAAAGGCATCGTTGCCACTGTTGTCGTTCCATGGTTACATTTGATTTTTGTATTCCCTTTCCTTTGAAGTAAAGGCGCTTTATGTTGACTTATAATATTGTGTATTTAAGTTAGTACAGTTAATTGTTACAAATGAGAATTATGTAATGTAAAATAATTAACACTAAACTTCTACTCTTGTATATGAGCCAAGCTTATGTTTCAGCCACTTAGAACACATAGAATGTTAAACTCTTCTAGTCTATCTTGTGCAAAGGCTTCATATTCTATATTTTTTTCAATTCTTAATTTCTTTTAGCTACATAGATGTAAGGATTCAAGATCATGTAAATTGATTTGAAGCCCAATATTCTTGTAAATGATCATCTACAACTGAGAAAAGCTGGCAAAAATCTATGTACAGAAAATTCATTTTCAACTGTCTGGTTGTGAGTGACAATTATTGCTTATGTTTCTCTAGTTAAATCTTACCTGATTAAAAAAGCTGCCATCACTGCTTCCTCTCTCCTCCCAGCACAAGCACAATATTTTGAATGTTATTTTTTAAGTCAATGTCACTCTACTGTTTGAGTTCCAGCACGTGCAGATTATAGAGGGTTATGGAACTCGGCCAGATTATGCTGCTCTTATTCAAACATAGATATTCAGAACTTAGGCATAGCTGAAACAAACTGTCACCTGCAGGTCAAGAGGGTAACTGTCAGATTCTTTCCTCTGCACTCATGTCTTGTCGGTTAGTTTCAAATATAGATGTAGCTGGATCTAATTAAGGGAAAGGCTTTTCTCTGTTGAAGCAGATTCTTAAGTCCTGCTCAGTCGATACTTAAAAATGGATCTGGCTATTTTCTAAGAAAAAAGAAAAGTCAAAACCTAACCTATTTTGGTATTTTGGCAGTGGGAGATGAAGGATAAAGTTTTCTATGCCTCACCTTTATAAAGAATTTAAAGGTGTAAGAGCACTGTATTATTTTGTTGAGTGTAAAAGAATTCTTGATCTTCTATCTTTTAAATACGTCATTATGAAGTTCTCCACCCAAGAGTTCTCAGGAAAAAAAACATCAGAACTCATTATTTGATCTTGATATAGTCCTGAATTGCTTTTGCTGTTCCTCCAAGAGTGATGCAAGCAAACTTGATATCCATATGTTCCTACATAAAAACCTAACTATATCTTGATTGTTGTGTGCAATACACTTTGTTAACAGTATTCATATGATTAACCTACTGTAATTTGTTGTAAAGTAAATTTTAGCATACCTAAGCTTCCTTTACAAGTGAAAATTTGTTGTTACAATTCTGCGTGCATAGAGCTGTTTGAAAAATTAAAGCCTTTGGAAATTTGCAATATTCAAACAGATCAGATCCCCCCTTTTGGGGGAAGTGGAGGAGGAGATGAGGAATAGGAGGAGTAATAGGGGAAAACATCTTCAGAGATACTGTTAGTGTGTGTGCGCACATGATGTCTGTGACAGTTTGACTTGCATTTATTCCATGTGACTGGGAGAACTCACTGTAGTTTTGAACTTTTTCAAAAAACTTAATGTCATAGTAGTTTTCAGCCCTGGGAATGATTTCTTGTGTTAATATTAAAAAAGCAACAACAAAATAAAGCTATCTCTTATTGTTAACTGGAAACCATGGTGGAACTTCAACAGAAGCTTGGTCAATAGGATATCTGATTGCTGTATATAATAGGCAAAAAAATTAAGAGCTTTCAATATCTTGTAAAATAGAGTACTTAATCTTTACTGTGACTAATAACTTTAAATTATTATTTACTAACATGTCCTTTTGTACCAATAGGATTATAGTCTTTTCTACCCCTACATATTAGATAGAGCTAGAATCTGAAAGCATTCATAAAGACTCTCTGCAGGCAAAAAAAAAAAATCCTTACTTTTGCAATTTCAATCTTTTTATAAAGAGTTTGTACCTCTGCTTAACTGGCCTTTCTTTAGGTAGCCTTTTATATAACTGTCCCATCTTAGTTTCCTGGAAACATCAATTTGTTTTCTAGGAGCTCATTACCCTGTCATATAGGGATATTCAATACGTGCTGGTCAAACAGGAACTGTATTTGCTGGTGTTTATAGCTACATCTATTTATACACCTGCAGAAGAATATAACTTGCTCATGGGGGATTTATTAGTCTTCAGATGGTTCTGTATATGATGATAGATTTACTTAGAACTTCTCTGCAGTGACCTTTGAAACTGCTGACAAGTCAGGCTTCTTTCTCTTTATTGCAAGAAGACTATGGATATTTTAGAGAAATGTATTTATAATTTATTGTAATATGTAAAGAGCGCCTGATCAGTTGCACCCCTTGTTTTTCTTTTTCATCTCTAACTATATTTTAAAATGCTGACATAATTTTACACAAACTTAAGGGGTATATTGATGATTTTAATCAGCTTTCAGTATGGGATTGTATGAGGTGACAGTTACTGCTTTCTCATTTCAAAATATTTTTATCTTTATATACCAAGAAGCTGTTGCATATGGTCACAGCACCCAATAAATTGTCGAGGTACCCTTGAGTGATTGTATTTGATCAGAAATATTTAATACCACCTGCTGTACATGAAAATGCACTAGCTATGTCTGCGTCTCCTAATAGCTACAAAAACTAAAGGAAACTGGTTAATTTTTCCTTCCAGGCATTAAGCTGCTCCCTCATGCCCTTCTCGGGCTTTGGTAGGCTGGTTAGTATCCCAGGAGCAGTGACCTGTGTAGCTCCTGCCAATACCCGTGCCGCTCTGCATGGCTGGTGCATGCACCAAGGGCAGATGTGTGCGCTTGCAGGCTGCTCCCGTTGGCCTTCACGTGCACTGAGCTGCGTAGTGCTGGAGGCTTGTTTCTGATTAATGGCAAGGGGGAGGTAGGCTAAACACTGATACCGAGTTTGAAAAAGTGGCTATTTAGCAGCCTGTTTTCCTCCTCTGTGGTTTATCTGTTTGTCCTTTCTCTCAGAACTGTCTCCGAATGAATGAAACACTGTGCTCAGGGATTGAGGGCAGCCACAGAGCAGCAACTGCCAACCCGAAGCGTGTTGGTGTCTGTGATACCCAGCAGAATGTAGGTGCAGTGCCCACGTGTCTGGGAGCAGAGGCAGCCTGAGTTACTGGCCCTTGCAATGAGCTGATTCACTGGAATGTCTACAGGAACTGCCGAAAGGTTTTGATAAGCCTTAAAAGAAGTTTCAAATGCCTTTTTATCCTTCCTTCCAATAGCAGCTTTTATCATTAGTATATGCTGTCATCTACAGACCTTGATAATAAACCTGTGCGTGGGTGCCTCTCAAAATCATTTGTGCACCAGTGCATCTTCTGCTTTCATGTTTAAAACAAAAAGTTGAATATATACACATCATCAAATCTGTAAGCAGCCATTATTATTCCAAGTTGATGTTTTCTCATTCTGCACACCATCTGTATGTTATTTGAGGGATGTACACAAGACTCTCTGCAGAGGAGAAGCAACGGCCAATACTCCCATGAGAGGATTCAGGTGCATGAAGAGTTTAAGTGCAAATCCCAAACTGTGTGTCATGAATAACCAGGGCCAGGATCATGTGGGTTTTTATAGCTTTGCACATTCATCCTGTAACTTGCATGTTCCTTGCTACAGATTTGGCTTTATCTTTGTATGCTGTTAGGACAGATGAGTTCACCTTATCTGCTCTTTCTCTTCAATTATTTAATGACTTCCTTTGTTAAAGTTGTGATTCACTTGTTCTGTTCAATCTCAAAGTAAATTAATTTTGCAAATCTAAACTTGAGTTTTGCTTCTGACGATAATTTGAAGTGAAATTTTTGCATGTGGAAGCATAAGATGGTGAATTTCAGGTTTTACTCTATGCAAGAGGTGTGGTAAAATCCACTATTTGTACTTCAACTTATTCTGGAATGCTTTATTTCCATCTTTCTGCTCCATGTGGAACTCAGAGCTAGGTCCAAGAAGATCCTTTCCAGTAATGACTTGATAGCAGTGTTTGCAGTACTTCACCACGCATCAGGAAGGAGTTTTCCTAGAATTTCATTCAGCTTCTTTCCTGCTTCATGCTTATTATAACAGGTCATATGCAATAAGGGTTTGAATAATAAGGGAGATTTGGTCTTCCATAGATCTGTAAGGTGTGGAGGGCCATGTGCTACTTTTGACTGCAAAAGCAACTGCAAACTAATCCTTTTAGAAAGTACATGAAAACATTTCTTGCAGACTGTCCATGCTATGTGCTTATTCTGACCTTTGGGTGCCAAAAGGCTCACACAGCCCTCTTCAACACTTGCTTCTTGACAATTAGGCTTCCTGTGCTGGCCTTTATTTGTTTATAATTTCATAAGGTGCATTTTGGCTTGTGTGTGTTTAGTGATTGCAGCCTGTGAACCTTGTTAATGCTCTGATTGGCATCAAAACAGTGCATGTTAACCAGCTTTAGAAATGAGCTGTCTTAATCTTCATCTTTGTTTTTCAGCAGGATTCAGATTTTGGGGAGCCATTTTTTGCAATGGACAGAATGATGTCAAATATGCGAAACAGTATGCTAGAGATGCAAAGAAAATTTGTGAGTAACTTAATTTGTTTTATATTGGATAATGACAGTGACTTAAACTGTTATTTGTCTGGAGCAAGGAGAAGAGGGGGAGGTTACTGGCTAAGAACAGATATTAAGAAAATATACTGGATAGTTTTGTTTGCTTTCTGGCCTGGAAAACACTATGATTATAGTTCTCTATACTGTCACTGATAACTTGCTAGAAGCAGTACTTTAAATGTAAGCTTAATTCTCTAGGGTTGGAACTGCTTGAAGCTGTCTGGCTTCTCTGTTGACAGAGCTGAGTACACCCTCAGTACAGGAGAATTAACGTTGTTACTGCACCTCCTAAAACAGCAAACTCCCCAAAACCTAAATGCCACCCCCCTGTGCATTTATGCACAGTCTTATTAAAGACCGTGCTTTTTAGAAATAATCCTTTTTCCACCAGTTTTATATTCACTGCTGTTTCTTCTGCAGTGCTTGAAGACAGAACATCAATATGTATTGACAGCACTGCTGAATACGTTTATTAACGGGGCCTTGTAAAATGGATTGTTAACATCGTTGCTAAAATCCTATTTCACCTGAACTTTTACTTGTCACCTGAACTCCTTACTAGATCTTGCAACCTATGACATCAGTCATGCCGTGTACATCTCCACTGGTAAACTGTGCCAGTATGAGCCATTGCTTATTGCTGGCTGTGCATTTAATTTGTTGGCCAGATTCCTGGCCTGGGGAGCCCTGTGCCTAGACAATGCTAGGATAAGAGTGAGGGCATATTGTGTCCCAAGATCTGTTCCCAGAAGGCTACATAGGCACATTCCCACCAAACTTGGGAAGAAAGATTTATGAAGGGGGGGGAAAGGAATAAATTGAGGTAATCGGATCAATTTGTGTGGATGGAACCGTGTCTGATACTAGAATTGAGGGTTAATTCCCTGGGAGTCATTGCTTTTCTTGGTGATAATTACATTAAGATAATCTTAGAATATAAGAAATACTATCCACAGCTTTAAACTTATATTAATATGAAAATTGCAATGATTGCTCGTAGGATGACTTCTCTGTCCATCCAGATGCCCACACATTCAGTTCCTCTTCTGTGATGACATATTCCAAAGTAGGGGATGAACCTCCAAAAGTTTTCCAGGCTTCAGCTCAGACACGTACAGCTCCCGGAGGTGTAAGTAGTCTTGAGATGCAGTGAAGAGCTGATAGGTAATTTACAGAATCAAAGTTAACCTGTGTTAAACCACAGTTGTTTTACTGGAGAGAATTACTCCTGTAATTTAGAAAAATACATGTTTACAGAGTACTACTTTATGTGAAATGCTGCTTAAGCTACAGTGCTATTTTCTTCCTTGCTATTTGTATATAAGTATACATTTAGTTAAAATGTATGCATATCAAAGATGGGAAGAACTGAGAGCCAGATCCTGTGATTTTCAAGGTAGTGTTCAGTGAATTGCTGTTTGCTATAATTAATCTGCCCATGTGCATTTTAAACCATCTAAAGCATAAGCTATCAAAGGCTGTCTATTTCTGCACAGTGTCACTTCGAATCACCCCCTTTACTCAAGTACTTTTACATGCTTACATAATGCCTCAGCTGAAGATGCCCTTTCATTGGCTTTCTTGCAGCTGTTGCATCTAATTCTGCTAAGAAATTTGAATTTGAACCCTGAAGCAAGGTTCATGAAAGACTATATGCAAGCAGTAAAGGCCGTTCAGCATGATTGGCTGTGGGATATGTTCAAGCTCAAGCAGGCGCTCGGTTATCAAAAAGGTTCTAATAATATACCTATGAACACAGTGATAAGTGGTCGCCAGGGTTTCAAACCAGTCAACATGACAACCTGGTAATTAGTTGTCCCTTCGTGTTGAGAATACTGGCATACGCTATTATTCATCCTGGTGTCAAGACGAACGTTGCAGACTTGTCTGCAGGTGGTATATTTAGACCAGGCCTTGACAGATTCTGCCCTCCACCTCTCCCCCAACAATTAATAGCCAGAATGTGCATTCAGTGGACAAAAAGAAATTGCTTGTTCTCTGTTTTGCTAGTGTATTTTTAGGTAATGCAATAAATGAAATGACTGGAAAAGCCTATAAAATCTTATTTTAAAAAATAAGAAATAAAAGCTTTGTGGAAGAAAAAAGTACTGTTGGAAGAACAAGTATTTTCCTTTTCTATACAGGTTAAGGAGACAAGAAAAGCGCTTAAAGATTCTGAAAGTGGAGTGGAAAAAATGGCTATTGGTCATCATATTCATGACCGTGCCCATGTTGTAAAAAAATCAAAGAACACCAAAACTGGTGACGAAGAACTGAACCAAGAATTCATCAACTTGGATGAATGTATGTCTTTATATGCAATATTCTGGTTTTACACTGGTATTTGACGTACAAATTTTGAAGTTTCAGCTTGGACTCTTTCATAGAAAGTGCTGAGTCTGCAAATCAAGATCTGTATGTTCAAGTTTCTGATGTAAAGTGGACCCCTAAGTCTTTTTGTTTTGTTTTTAAAGTTAAGATTTGGAAATGTTGCATCATAATGATACAGTGGGATCCCTTTGCCTGTATGGTAACTGCTTGTATTTGAAGATAATTTAAATAACGTTTTATATTTTCAAATGAACGTCTTACAGAATTGTTAAATTTGCTGTGTGTTTATTTACATGGCTAGTCTTATGTCTTGTTAAAATATGCGTATCAACACCTTCATCTGCTTCTACAAAACTGACTTTCAGTTTAATTTTATCTTCCAAATTTCAAATTTTTATTTTCTAAAACCTACTGGCCATAGTCTTTTTGGTATGGAGCTTCCAGAAGTAGTCCTCGGGTCATGTTAGAGAAATGTGGACCATAAATTAAAAAACACTGTTTCAACAAAATTAATTTTGACATGCTTTGTTCTGGCTTGGTTGCATTTGTTTAGAATAAAAATAACTTGAACTCTTTTTCAGCTGATGCCCAGACCTTTGACGAGGAGTGGCAGAAGGAGGTTTTGAAGTTCAAGCCATCTAGAGCTACATACAACGTAGAAGCTCCAAAATACAGAAGTATTCACAACATACCCAAAGATGGATCAAGAAGGTAAAAATGTAGTTTCCTATCAGAGAAAAGTGAAGAGCATCAATAGAACAAAAGCCAGTTCTGAAGCAGTCTAAATTAATGGACAGTGCTTTCTGTCAGTCTGAGAAGAAATAGCATGCTTTATTTCTGCTTTTTTGATGCTGCTGCACTACATATTAATATAAGGTAGTATTTTTGTAACTAAACTTCGAAGAAATTCAGTACTTTGTCTTTGAAAATTGCTATAAATTAATAGAATAAAATGCGTGAGATTTTTCTAGACTAGTGTGTCAGTACTTTTAGCTCAGTTGTGCACAGACATAAAATCCCTCCCCACACACCCTACTCCATCATTAAGCTGGGTTAGTTGTATTAAGATTAAATCCTTCTGTATGGATTAAATCCACTTTTGTGGAAAAAGGTGAGATGGCTTTGGTAGGGCTATGTGTCTGTCTGCAGCTCTCATTCGGGTTAGGTTTCAATTGGGTTTTCATACAACCCAAAGGTCAGGAAATCTGTGTAGGGACAAGCATTTTACCTGTAGAAGCAGAAACTCCCTTGCACGCTGTTTTCTGTCAAGCTTCATTGTTACCTTCCTCGTGTCAGCGTAAGTTCAGGGAAAGTTGTGATGCTTTCATGCGTTTAATTTTGTTACGGAGTGCTACGAAGGTGAATGATCTCCTTCTGCAAACTGTGCAGAGCATTTTCCCTCTGGCACCTCTTCAGTTCTAGAGATTTACTGCAGAGGCTATCTTGCCTTAAACCTCAGTCTTGAAATATTTCTCCTCAAGTGTGCAAGATGAGGAAATGGTCCACTCCTTTTAGTGCTTTTAGTAGGGCAACTTGGACACGTCAATGTGTGCTTTTTTCTTTTTTTTCCCCTTAATGCTGCCATCCCCAGCATGTAAACAGTGCTCCTTGCATGTCTGCTTAAAAATACAAGAGCAAGTGTGACTCAGGAGTGGTTTTTTGTTTTGGGGGGGTTTTTTTTGCTTAATTTTCATACCTTCTACATCATGGTGCTAATGTTATTTTACAGCTTCAGAAGTACATCTCTTTAGTAGATGTAAGACTCTTTCCAAAATAACTAGACCTTCAAATATTGAACAAAATGCTTGTTAAAAATGTATCATATGTTGCGTTTGATTTTTATTGTTTCAGGGAGAAGCCACTTACAAGAACACCAATTGCAGGTTCTAGAGGACCCAGAATTTCTTCAGAGAACCTCAGTGTGAAAGGATCACATGTTCCCATCAAAAGCAGCAAAAAATAAAAGTTTCCATGTCCTTTTGGACGGAGTCTCTTCAGAGAAGATAATGGTGCTGTCTGTTTATGTTTGTAAAGTATATGCATATATAAGACCAATCTCTGTTTTGTTTTACTATTAGTGTGCCTTTTTCCTCTAATCTTTTTGACTACTGAATGTTCTCTAAATCTCCAGATCTTTGGTTTAAACTATCTATATAGTTTAAGTACTTTCCACTTCAAAGCACTTTAATGGGATATAACTAATTCTGTTTAAAAAATGCTTTACTTTGCCTTGCAGAGTTTTTCCCCACAACTGCACTAGTTGTCTCTAACTTTTTATCAGGCCTGATGAGTACAACTGCTCTTTCTTCTGTTGTAGAACTTTCACAGAACGTAGATTCTTTCAGTTTTGTGTGACAATTGCTAATTTGGGTTTAGCAATATATCAGTTAATCACAGTTCAGTGCACTATTGCCAGTATGTAATTGGATTTGAAGTCACATTGTAAATTGCTATAGAATCCACAGATACATATTCTTCAATGTGGGGAAATAAGTGAAAGGAATACTAAAATACTGATAAAATCTAAATTTTATTTTAAAAAGTATCAGCTTATATTCACGCACTGTGCTCGCATCTCACTTTTGAAGCTAAGCTGTTAATTCTGTGTTTTTGATCACTTGTGTATTTCCCTTGGAAGTGGCCCATTATATTTCAGTCTTGAAGACTCTCCAGTTTTCAGTGTCCTATAACTCAGTTCTTCTATAACTTAGTTCTTAATCAGAAAAGTATGGGGAATTGGTTCAATAGGCAGTTGTTTGTTAATTACATAATTAAGGACTCCTGTTCTAAAAAGCTAAAATATCTCTGCATATAGAAAACTTTCTTCTGTCAGCTGTCATATTTTATATGACTTCTGCACCCCAGTCTAGCAGATGCAGTGGAATATTGTTAATCTTCATCTCCCTTTTTTTCCTCCTCCTTTTTCTTCCCCTTACTCCTTGGTTAAAGGGTTATAGCAGGAGGCAAACTGTGTTTGACTGAGAATGGGTAAAGTCTTGAAGTCCAGATGCTGTTTTGTTAATCAGACTAGATCCCAAGTTGTAGTGTAAATAATATTCTGTAGAATATAGCATTATAGTATTAGCACTGTAACCTGCATTTCAAGGCTAAACTATTAGTGTCGCCTTAAACTATTTATATGATAAATGAAAAAGTCTAAGTATTTGTATGACTAAAAATTAAAAGGTATCTTTTAAAGCACTTCTTTCTGAAAATTCCTTGGAGTATTTAAGGTGGTTCTTGCAACAGAAGCACTTGGGTTACGTCCCTGCTCCCTCGTGGGCCAAGAGCGAGCCCTGGTGGCAGGGAGCTCGCTGCTGCTCTGCGCCCACCATCCCCTCACGGGATTTTCATGCCTTAAATCTTGCGTCTTTTGGAGAGTAGCAAAGGACAGCTGGGGAGCTGGGCCTCCCTTTCTTGAAGACTGCCCCTCTCTTGCCCTTAACTTGATTGGGAACATAACTGACAAATGCCCATCACTATTTCCCACTAATAAACAGCAGAAAAATAAAATGGAGCGTAATGCTTTTTATGTGGTGATTTCAGGGAGGGGAAAAAAAGACCTTCAGTTTCAGTGAGGTGTTCTTAAACAGAAACTACTATTTATCCAATTGCTTATATTTATATAGGCATAAAATGTGTACACACAGGGCCAGGGAAAACTGACTGTACTCTGTAACCTACAAAACCAGTGCATCCTCGGATTGTAAAATTACAGTGGAAAGAGGCTAATTCACCTTATTACAGACTACTTTGTTGTGCAAAGCAGTCTTAGAAAATCTCATGCTACAGATGTAGTTCTGAAATGCAAGAAACCGGTCTCTGTGGAAACACCTGCAATTACTAATTCTTCATTAAAGAGTTACCAGTTCCTTTGCCTCAGAGCTTGTTTTTTGGGGTGTGTGGGGGTGCGTTACTGGGGGTCCCTTGGCCACGCAAATGCCCCAGACGGCGCTGCAGCGAGAGCAGAGGAGGCGCTGCCCTTTCCGCGAGGAAAACGCGCGTTTAACGTTATTGAAAATAACGCAATCCTGCGGGCCCGGCCTGCGGGGCGGCCCGTGGCATGTCCCGCCCTCCGCATGCGCCGCGGCGGCGGCCGGAAGCGCGGGCAGCGCCGTGACTTTGCGGGGCCGGGGCCATGTTCGCGCTGCTGCTGCTGCGGGCGGCGCGGGGCCGCCGGGGACAGGTAACGGCCGCGCCGCCGCCGCCATTTCGTGAGGGGCGCGTGCCCGGGGGGAGCGCCTGTAATGGAGGCGGCGGGCGGGAAGGCGCCCCGCGGGGGCGGCCGTTGGGAGCAGCCCCTCTGGGCACCCAAAACGGGTGGTTTGTGTTATTTTACCCGCGGGTTGGCAGGTTTGCCCCCGTAACCGGCGTTTTTGCGGCCTCTCCCAGCTCCTCCCCGGCGCCTGCTGCCGCCGCTGCTCCTCGGCGGTGCTCCCCAACGAGAGGATCCGCAACATCGGCATCTCGGCGCACATCGACTCCGGCAAAACCACGCTCACTGAACGCATCCTCTTCTACACCGGCAGGATCGCCCAGATGCACGAGGTCTGTGGGCCTGGCCGCCCTCTCCACACCCCCCTGCTTCCCAGTGCCTCAGACCCAGCCGTCAGGCCCACGTCTGCCCATCTCTGTGGAATGCATCACCACAGATAGATGTTTCTCTTCAAAAGTGGCAGTGTATAAATGTGTTTTGTTTTTTTTTTTCCAGTTTCAGATGTGTTATTTTGTTGCAGCAGAAATTACCAGAGGTTTTCAGTAGCCTTTTACAGGAAGGACCCCCAGAAGGGCAAAAGATGTTAAAAAGATGCAGATGAAACTGCCAAAATTCCAACATGCTCATAATTGAAGATTTTGGAAGTTATTGTGTCTCGCCTGTTTTGGGGTGAAAGATGGTCCTCCCTGTAGAAAGCATCGCTGTTGCTCATGTAAACTCCTTAGTTAGACTCTCTTAAGAGCTGTTTGTTTTTGCTTTCTTCCATAAGGTGAAAGGTAAAGATGGAGTTGGAGCCATCATGGACTCCATGGAACTGGAGCGGCAGCGCGGCATCACCATCCAGTCTGCAGCCACGTATACCATGTGGAAGGACACCAACATCAACATCATCGACACGCCAGGTAGTGCCCACGCTGAACACATCAGGACTATCATATATGTGACGAACACATCAATTCCTTCATATATACAAAAAATATGGATCCATCTTTGTGTCCATTAGTCTCTTGAGTCATGCTGATACAACTCTTTTATAGCAAAAGACCTATTCCATTGGATATTGCATTTTTTTCGGTACCTGTGAGAGTGTAATTCCTTTTTACCATTTGTCATCTATTTTGTTTTTTCCAGGACATGTGGACTTCACGATTGAAGTGGAAAGATCCTTGCGGGTTCTTGATGGTGCCGTTCTGGTGCTCTGTGCTGTTGGAGGAGTACAGTGCCAGACAATAACGGTGAACAGGCAAATGAAGCGCTACAGCGTGCCCTTCGTGACTTTCATCAATAAGCTGGACAGGCTGGGCTCTAGTCCAAACAGAGCAGTGCAGCAGTTGAGGTATCTGTCGCTTTGTTTGTGAAATAGTCCTGAATTCGGCTTAACATTGAGGATATTGGGAAATGTTACCTTCTGGCGTCTGTAGCTGCAGTTTGGAGGGCAGTTGTGAGTTGAGGTTAATCCTGCTCTGCTCTATAAGAAATCTCTGCTTTCCCAAGAAAATGATAGCAAAACAAATCTTAGTGTTAGGCTAGACTTGCAGACTTGGGAGCTTGGTATTTATTTATTATAATAAATTATTAGATGCATTAAAATGCAGCCAGGCATTTGTCTTCTGTATTTGTAGATTGATTCTGGAACTGTCAAAGGAGTGAAAGACTTCAGCTGCAGGAATATAATGGGAATGGGATTTTTTTCAGGGAACATCAGGAGCGTATATGTTTAATGACTGCCTTTCTGCTTTCAGTCATATGTTTAATGACTGCTGATTTTTGTTTGTTCACTTTTCCAGATCCAAGTTAAATCACAATGCGGCTTTTGTTCAGATTCCAATTGGGCTGGAGGGGAACTTTAAAGGAATTATAGATCTTATTGAAGAAAGAGCCATATATTTTGATGGTGCACTTGGGTAAGTGTTGCAACTTGAATATTTCTTATTCTGAAGCTCCTGTTTGTACGGATAATGCTGAAATATAGAAACCTATAGTTGTTCAGAAATGAGGAAAAAACCAAAACGTTATTAGGACAATTATGGATGTTGCTTGTGCTAGGGCATAAACTCCCCAGGTTAGAGAAATAGGAGACCTGCTTCATAACGGGAATCAATATTGCGTGTTTGACATGAGATTACCGGGATGAAGACACGAAGCAGAGGGGTGGCAGTGTGTTGATGGACAAATTATTGCGTGTCTTTGCAAAATCCTGCCGTGAACAGGAAGGAGAAACCCTTCCCTGCTTAAGCATCAAAAATACCAAAGGGGAAGATGCTCGTACGTGATTTTTATTTTTCATACTGTTACATGATTTTTATTTTTCATACTATTATGTGATTCTTTTGCTATCCATGTAAGTGGTGGGTTTTTGGTGTTGTTTTTGATCAGCCTGGTCATACCAATGATCAGTGATTCGAACCTCAATTCATACAGTATTCCTTTAAAGTGGTTATTTTATTTACTGGTTGTAGGCAGACTGTTCGATACGATGAAATCCCAGCTGAATTCAGGGCAGAGGCTGCAGAAAGACGACGGGAGTTGATTGAATGTGTGGCAAACTCAGACGATCAGCTTGGGGAGCTCTTTTTGGAAGAAAAGATTCCTACAGCTGCTGATTTAAAGGTAACTTTATGGTGGTCCTTGTTCTTTTTCCGCTAGAAAATATCTTGAAGATTTTTTTTCAATGCTTGAATCCTCTTGTATGAGCGTCACCTACTACAGGTTGATTCCCAGTTCGTTCTCAGCAGAGGGCCCTTTCTACCCTTGTTTGTTTGAGCAATTCCTTCTGTAAAAGCAACTTGTGCTCTCAGAAAAAATGGAGGGAAATAATTTGACTAAAGTCACTCATTCTCTAGGTAGATTTGCCCTGGAAATTTTGAGCTTTTGTGCTCTTTGGAGAGAAGCAAACATCTCCAAAAGAAATGAAGTGGTTTAATTCTGATTTTTTTTTCCTCTGTTGCTTATCTACACTACAACTTTCTGGGTGGGACTTGCTTCAAGTCATCTTTGTAAGAAATTTTGCCTCTTTTAGTATTTGCATTGATTACATCCTCCTAAGGTGAAGGAAGCAGTACTCTAGAAGCGAATTGGAATCATTTGGGATAGGGAGGCAAATCCAGAAGAAATAAGTCTAGGTCAAAATAACAGTTTTCATGAAAGAAGAATGCTTTTCTTGAAGCTAATACGTGATTTATTTTATGAAATATTTTGAGTATTGCATGGCAAAAGGCATCCCAACATAAAGGGATGCTCGTAGAAGCGGTGAGGAACACAGGTTTCCCTACAGCAGGTGACCACAGGTGGAGAACGTTTTGCTCTTGTCACATTTGGATGTCTCTGTTACTCGAATGCAGAGCCATGTTATAAAAGGGGGTAGGGAGGCCTGGGAAGCTCAGCTGTGGTTGTGCAGCTGTGGTGTGCAAGCTTCAGCTGCTGCTTGCTCCTGATGGGATGAGCTTACACTGTTTAGTGGAGCCTTAAGAGCAGACTGAGGAGTGGTGCATATTTTAGATTGTTTTATGACTTTGAGCTTTGAATTAACAAAGAAAAAAAAAAAAGCCAGAACAAAAATTTATTTTGGCCTTATGGAGTGGATTTCCTGGTGGTTAAGGTCTCTAGTACTGCAAAGGAATCTGTATACACGTAAGTGTATTCCCCTTTCTCCCCTCTGAAATATTAAGGAAATGTAGCTCTTATTTCAGTAATCAGAGGTTTAGTTATTGGCATTTCCAGCAAACAGATATTTTTTTATGAAGCATGAGCTGTTCATGTTTCAAAGCAGCTCTTCTCTACTTGGTAAAGACAAAATATAGTAGCAGTTTTAGAGACCTGTGAGGATCTGTGTTCCACTTGGAAGAGGGAACAATACAGTTGGGAATACACTGTATTTATGTAAGAGGTGAGAGATTCCAGCAGGAAGCTGTTTTTGATGGCTCCTGCTGGGAGGGAAACCTGTTACAAAAATGAATTTGTTTGTTCAGCATGCCTCTGCTTCCCACTTTTGAAAGCCAATTAATTATATTTATAATGGCTGTAGCATTGCAGATGCAGGTTAATTTGTATTAATATGTCCCTGAAGATGGATTTTCTTTCGGTGGCCAGCAGCCAAGTTTCCACTGAAAATATCTTTTCATAGAAGTGATGCTTGGTATCACTCCTGGAGGTCAGAGTCTCAGCATCTGATGTTCATTAAAGATTGACTTCTTAAGCAAACACTTCATTTGCTGCTGTCCAAAATGCTGGAGTCAAGGAACTGATATGCCCTGAGCTGCTCCATGGGGCACTCGGTAACAATCATCTTTATTCAAAAATAAAATTAAGGGTTTTTTTTTTTCCTTGAGATAGTTGTTGATGCGAATCAGCTGGAGCCACACTGCTTCATTTGAAACAACAGGGCAAAATAGAAACCCAGGCATCAGCAGGGCTGCATGTTCTATGCTTAGCACAGTGTGGGAAAGACACAAGGGATAGATGGGCAAAAATGGTGATGCAGGCATGTAATGCAAATATTAATTCTGCAGAGTCATTAAATCAAGACATTCAAGGAAAGAGGTGTTCATTTTTTCTAAGTTTAAGAAATCCTTTTCTAATTTCTTCTTATAAATCAATTTGCTTTCCTGAGGTTTATTCTTTGCTGACAATTTTTGGCTTAGCTCCTCTAAATTACTGTCTCTGAACTATAAAGGTCACTTAGCCTTTTTCTTTAGGTACACTAATAAACTCCCAGGTCAGATGATATGATTAACTACAGGAAACTCATTTGTTCAGCTCACCAAAGGAGACAGGGGCTGCTTTCCTTTAGAGTGAAGGCTTTGCAAGTGTGGGCAAGGAGCATCCTCTGGTGGCAGGGAGAGGTGGGATGAAGTTAGTGATCCTGGGTTCAGTAGCTTGAACTTTTCTGGGATAAGCAATTAGCTCCTGCCCACCTCTCTCAGCCTTTAATGAAGACAGCTGTGACTGCTGTTTTGGGAGCTTTTGGTCTTCAGCTGTGTTTTGCAGTGTTGTGTGATGCTTGGGTGAAGGGCATAGGATGATCTTGTGGTTATTGTGCAGTTAGTTTATCTTACTGAGTTTTCTAGCGTGTCTTGAAAGGTTTCCTAAGGCAGTCAGGTGACTTCAGCAGAACAGTGTGAATAGGTCCCTCTGTAGCAATGTCAAAACATTTCTGATTAAAACTGCTGATTCATTCTGCACGCAAATTCCCCAAGTATCCCTTCTCTACTTTTCTTTTTCAGAAAGGTTTTACAGAGCTTTAAAGATGGCAACGCATCTCACTTTGCCTTCAAATTGAAATGTGTATTGTTTTCTAATATAATAAATTGAAGAAAAAGGAAAATGACAACCTGAAAACACAAATGAAGAATTTTGACTATCGTTATATTTTAACTTACGTGTTTTCATTTCAAAGTTCAATGTAGGATAAAGAAAAGAAAACCCTCAAAATTCTCTGAAAAAACAGATAAACTTTCATGATGTAGGGAGTTCTGCAGGAGAGTCTTGTGGGCAGCTGCTTCACTCCAGGAGTGAAGAAACCAATAGAGATAGAGAGTGGTATCTGTAATACTGTATAGCTGGTACTGCATCAGACTCCTGAAGTTATTGCAGAAGGAGAGTAACACATTGGTATTTTTCTAGCTTGCAATCAGAAGAGCAACACTGAAAAGGTCCTTCACCCCTGTGCTTGTGGGAAGTGCTCTGAAGAACAAGGGAGTGCAACCACTGCTGGATGCTGTCCTAGAATACCTGCCAAATCCCTCGGAAGTTGAGAACTACGCTATTCTTAACAAGGAGTGAGTAAACTTTGGAGTGTATGGAGTGCTTTTGGGATCAGGTTTTGTAGCAGTGTAGCATGTAGCAGGAAATGTTACTACCAAAACATATGATCATTTACATTAAACAGTACAATCACAATTTCTGTGCAACATTCTAAAAACTACAAGAGTTCCTCTCGTTTGGGGGGACATATTTATACCTGCACTTCTAATGCTTGTTGAATGTGAAGTTTGAAAATTTGTTGTCTGATGAGATAATTGAGATAAGTGTAGGAGAACCACATGTAACTTTGTATTATAAAATTCTGTGGAACTGTTGGGGAATATTCCAGGATTGACTTTGTGTTTGGAGGCTGCTGGTGTTTCCCTCATAATATTAACTCCCTATCTAACCCTTTTCCTCAGGGATTCTGAAGACAAAACCAAGTTCCTATTGAACTCTGCTCGAGACAATTCCAAACCTTTTATAGGCCTTGCTTTTAAGCTGGAGGTAAGTTGTTTCTTCTGCTAATACAGCACAAAGAGTAGGGAAGGAGAGCATTTCCTAGAGGAATTGTTGATGTTTGTCAGTCTTACACACAGTGAGGAAGTACAACCTGCTCTCAGGCTGTCACCAGTCCCCAGGATGTGGCTTAATGCAGTGATGGTTGTTACTTCTGGGGGGACTCCAGAATTCTCCTTTTAAAGCTTGCTGTTTAAATGTGTCTGTGCATTGTGGCAGTATTTGGCCACGGTGTATATGGTACAGCTAGGCTAACAGTTTCTATAGAATACAGACCCAGGACATTAAGTGATTGAGTGACTTCAATTATTTTGAATTTCCTACATTCCCAACACCTGACTTCCACTGAGAGACTTAACAAGTTATATTCACTTTATGTTAATATTGAAAGGGAATTAAACCGTATGCAGATGCATTATTTGTGGTGTATCAAGCGTATGAAACATTTCAAATCTGCTAAAATTTCTAATGAATTAGATGTCACAAATACTTCAGGTTTTTCTTAGCTAAGTCCTGAAAGCTTTGAAGGTTTTGTTGGCTTATCTCAAAATGGTATCAGAGAAAAATCTTGTTTTTGCTTGGAGGTGAAAACAATGGAATATAGGAGACAAAGAGGAAAAAGCCTGATGCTTTAACCAAACAGGCTGCTTGCTACCTAGAGGTAGAGGTTTGGATTTTCCTGCAGGAAGTGGCCACCAAATTGCTAGTTACAGTATGTCTTTGTTGTGAAGGTTTAGGACTAGGAAAATTGGTAAAGTAAAAATTAGGAGATGCCAGGTTTCCATCCTGGAATAATGCAAAAGTTAAGATTACATTAAAAAAAGTTTCATTTATGTGTTTACATGTCTCTGTAAATTCAAAGCAAAATCACTGAGTCTGTTAGGGCAGAGCATGCTTAGAATAATGGTGGTCTTGATTGCCAGAAGGATTATACTTGACTGTTAATGATTTTTTATTAATTTTCATTTCAGGCAGGCCGTTTTGGGCAGTTAACTTATGTTCGAGTTTACCAGGGAATGCTGAAGAAAACGGACTATATTTATAACACTAGAACAGGGAAGAGAGTGCGTGTGCAAAGGCTCGTGCGTATGCATTCCGACAACATGGAGGTGAGCGCGAGAGGGAGAATCCGGGCAAACTCCTCACCTTTTCGGTCATTCCTATCTAAAAAGGGAGAAGCTAGTTTCCTATCCCCGAGCAATGTGATTACACGGCCAGTTTTTGATATTGATGTTAATTCATGTTTGTCTTTAGCCTTTAGTTGAGCTCCGTGATAATACGCAGAAGGCAGTTTCAGTTTATTTTCACTTGAGTGAAGAGTCTTTGCTTAAGGAACATTATAAAATGACTTTGAAGTGGCAGTCTAAAAACACTAGTTGTGGTATTATCCCTGCATATTCCTGACTTGTAGGAGAAAGGAAATAGTACTGGCAAAATATACAACAAGATTTTCTTCCATGTGTTTTTGAATACAATTCTTTAATGAATAAATGTTTCTTAAAGTGCTGCAGGAATTACTCTACTTAAAATTCCTTAACCCTGTAGCTGGGGCAGGACTGCCTGTATGTTGCTTGCTTCACATCATAGTGTCTAGGCTCTCTTTTTTGTGTATTTATTTTGAGGAAATAGAAAGTTTACAGTACACTTTATCAAAGCTGTAATTTTCAAAGGAGTTGAACGTTGGGCTTTTAAGCACTTTTTAAGCTTTTATGTCTTTGCTATATCTTTGTAACTTGCTAATGTCTTTCACTGATACATGATTATTGAACTTTTTCTTCTTAAGGATGTAAATGAAGCTTATGCAGGAGACATATGTGCACTGTTTGGAATTGATTGTGCTAGCGGGGACACGTTCACTGATAAAACTAGCACTGACATTTCCATGGTAAGTGCACTGCTCCTTCCCGCGTTGGAGTTTCCAGGATTCTCTTTTTAAATGGTTTTAATCTTTGGTCAGTTTAAGTAGTTTTTTGATGTATATACAATTGCAAATAGTTATTGTAGTTGTTTGTTATACTTCAAAGAGCCTGGACATATAGATGTATGTGTATCCAAGAGATAGGTGCTCTTTTACTGCGCTTGGTATCAAATACGTTACTCCAGTTCTAGAAAACTTGTGAAACAAACATTTCTGGGATGCCAGGGCCATTACCACCTCCTTTTCTGTAAGTGTGGAGCTGAATACTGAGAGGATGCAGATATATCTGTTGTTTTTATATGTTCCTCTGTGAAATCAGACGTTAGAATATGGAAGCAATGTCTAACGTGAGATCCCAGCAGAGATCAACTTGCATCCAGGAAACAATTACTGAGGAGAATTACAGTTTTGTTACAGTTTAGTAGTAGACACAAGCAGTGTAACCATGCAAGTGATTGTGCCAGTTTGGAACCCAGGGTTCTTGTGGTCAAACTTTACTGGAGAAATCATACCAGCGGATGTAGTGCAACCTGATTCTATGATCTTTCTTTATAACCCTTACAGGAATCAATTCATGTCCCTGATCCTGTTGTTTCAGTGGCCATCAAGCCTTCCAACAAGGTAGGAGCCTCTTAATTAAATTCTTTTCTGAGTTGCCTTTTTCTGATGTTTTTAACACTTCAAGCAAGTTAGCAGGCATATAGGCTGCTGATACAGGATAAACTGAGCAGCGTTTTAAAATATTCTGTCCAAACTAGTTAAGAGCATATCATCCAGGTAACACATTGATATGCTAGATAGTAACAGCTAACCACAGGGAAGCTCCGTGTCTTTGATTTAAGTAAGTATGGTCTTGAAATAGTTATTTCAAACTGAAAGATATTTACTTCTATCTTCCATAAGAAAAGTAGAGATAAGCTAGACGCAAGGGACTTTGTTATTTCATCAAGCTTACAGTCAGCCTGGCAAACTTCATCAGCGTCCAGGAGCTGGAAGAATAAATGCAATTATAAATCTCTGGCTGTGCTTCAGAAATAGCCTCATGAGGGTAGAAGTGCTAAGCAGTTGGCAAGTAAACTTGAGGCCTTTTTTGTTATGTGACTTTCAGATACAGAATTAATCTTTTTTTTCTCCCTTGCATGTGTAATTGTTTTTAGAATGACTTTGATAAATTTTCGAAAGGCCTGAACCGCTTTACAAGAGAAGATCCCACCTTTAGAGTCCATTTTGATGATGAGAGCAAAGAGACCATTGTTTCTGGAATGGGAGAACTGCACCTGGAAATCTATGCTCAGGTAATTTGGAAAGCTAATTCCACGGACTGTGCTCTTGAATAGTTTCCCAAACCAGAGTTCTCCTTCCTTTCTGCCTGAGAGTTGCATTGCTCTGTCTAAATCTGTTTGCGGATGGGCTGATTGAAGCCAGACTGAAGGCCTGGTTTTGTAGTTGGGCCCCTAAGCTCACATCAAGCTTTCTGGCTTGTTTGGAGATACAACTCCACTTGATTTAATAGTAAATCAGAGTTTTCATATGGCAGCTATTTTGAGGTCTTTCTGCCAGAGGGCACTGTGACATTAATGTGTTCACATTAATACTAGCCGCTTGGGGAAGTGTTGAGCTTCTTAGGCAGCTCTTGAAGATTCTCTCTCCCTAGTGGTTCTCTGAAGACTTATAATCTATTTAAATGAACCTTCAGTCTGAAATGGTTTTACTTTTTACTTTTTGATAAAAAAAACAATAGTGCCAGTTCAGTTTGGTATAAAAAAGTTGTATTAGGCATTTTATTTTGCTTTAGCGAGTTTTGCTTGTAGTGAATTTTAATATTCACCTTTTTTTGTAGGAGATAATTCCTATAGGAGAGAAAAGTACAATATTTCTGTACTTTTATATGTATGTAATTTCGTAAGCTGTGATGTAGTAGGAATAGTTACTTAAAATGATCTGTTTATTTCTTTCAAGATAACATCTGATTTTACAGGCTCACATAGATGTATCTGTTGTGTTCACAGAACGAAGAAAAGACTTTTTTTTTCTTTGAGAACTTGAAAACTTGAATGCAGTAGTTATGTTATTGCCTTGGCCTATATCTAAAGCTATTGCCCTAAACAAGGATGACAATAGAATGTCGGTGAATAATTTATAACACCTATTTTTCAAAAATAAAACCCAAACCAAAAGAACATGTTAACTGTGACCAAAGTTTCTCGATTTAAAATTATTGGTGATAAAAAGCACTGCCAGTGCATAGGGACTGTTCTGATTTTCTTTTTTTTTTTTTGGTTCTGCAGCGAATGGAAAGAGAATATGGTTGTCCTTGCACTGTGGGAAAGCCAAAAGTCGCCTTTAGAGAGAACATCTCTGCACCTGTGGAGTAAGTATTCTGCTACCAATTTTCTATTAATTTTGACACCACATTTGATTATGCAGAATATAACATGACGTTTGGGTTACTAGATCAAAGCAAAAGTCACAGGAAAAGTTTTACTGAGCAAGGTGTTACTTGTACTTGGATTTTGTGGTCCCTATCTACTTATCTGGCCTCCTTCGAACACCTGTAGCATTTCAGCTTCTTCCACCGTCGTGCGCGGCGCTCCATTAGCGCTCTGCCCGTTTTGGCTGACGGCTGTTCTGTGTTACTTTAACTCCATGCTGTGGGTGCCAGAGAACTGTCATTTGCCAATCTCCTGTAGGTAGAAAGCAAAGGGTGTGCTGGAGAAAGCAAGGAGGTATTTTCTTTGGACAGCACTGAACTAGGATTGACTGCTGTAATTTAGCCACACTTGGGCTGATTTTTGACTAGCTTGATCAAGCGCTAATAGAAGTGCAGGATAAGCAGCACAGCAGTCTGTCTTGTTGAGCTCTCAGTATTTGAGTTTGTTTTTCTTCACAGAAAATTCTGAGGAGCTAAAGCATTACAGATGCTGTAACTTCACTGGAGTGGAGTAGGGTAGGAAACAGGGAAGGTAGGAATGGGAGTGAAATCTCTCATTCCGTGGTTACTTATTACAGGGTGTCACACTGTCAGGAGTTTCTGGTCTAAAATCTGGTCCTCCAGTGCTGTCCCTCTAGTAGAGAGATACTCTGCAGCTGGAATACAGTTAAACAGCCAAAATGTGGCAGGTTTTTTCCCCTGTGCCAGTTTGGTGATAGTACCACCCAAGAGAGGTCATGTTAATGGCCATATATTGAACCTCCGCTAGAGGTTCTCTGCTAGAACCTCTTGCTAGCCCGCAAGAAGGGCTGAGGTCAGTTGAAAACTGCAGCCTCCTGACACCAGCTAGAGACTTGCGTCCTGCCTGCGTGGAGCAGAAGCAGGGAACACTGAGGCAGTGGGTGCTCTGCCCTAACTGCACCCAGTTTGCCACCCACCTCCAGGCTCAGACCTGTGGACACCTCACCGTCCCCATGTCCGAGTTCGGGGTTACGTGATTGGCAGTCTTGAAACCAAGAAAAAGAAAAAATATTTTTTGATTTTAGAAATAAGACTTTACCTGGGACACGAATTCATGAAGGAGAACCATGTAGTCAAACTCAAGGTAATCATCACTCCTTTTCTGGAAGGACAAGGGCTAAACTGAAAAGGTTGAATTGGGGCTTTTCCCCCTCCCTGCCCTCCTTTCAGAATAGTGAATCAATTCTCTGTTATAATAAAAAAGTCTCTGATAGATTAAATTGGCATCTTATATTCAAGGATAAAGCAGATGTCACTGTAGCAAAACAAGAAGATACTATTTTGCATTACCATGAACTCCAAAATTGCATTTGAGATGTTGGATATAAAATTTGAAACCATGCTAATCCCTGCCTTCAAGTTAGATGTTTTCCAACTCTAGGAACTTACTTTACAGGGAACATGTAGTTATATAATGCTATAGTTCTTTAGTTTAGCTTAAATAATCCTAAATAAAATTGGCAATAGGATAAGACTTGTAACGCACTCCAGGGTCTTTACAGTGGCTAATAAGTTATTAGTGGCAGTGTGAGCATCATACTCTTTATGAATCTATTCTCCAGACAATAGAAAAGGTAAAATAAGTCCACTAGTTAGATTAATAAAGTGATCTAGTTTAATAGTATTGCTTTCTTTATACTTAAATTCATCTAGAGGGTTTTAAATCTTACCTGTGCATAGCCCTACAGTATCCATGATCTGTTTCAGATACCAAAGGGAGCAAAACGTTAACAAATCTTGCTCCTAGAATGAGTTTCTGCATTTTCCTCAAACCCAGAACTTTGTAAAAGTTCATGGGCTCTTTTGAGTGGCGAAACATTTGGACATGAAAATTTATTCTGAAGACCTCTGATATACTGAATTTTCTCCATATGAAGTCCTGTTTTGCTGCTCTAGACTACATAGTAAGTTTCCTTGAATTTGAAATTAACTCTGTTTAGAAGTTATTCTCACACTGTGTTTATTTCCAAGTAGAAGAGATAATTCATAGAATTATTTTTATGTATAAGAAAGCCCTATAGAAGCTTTCCTGGAAGCAAGTTTCTTGATCAGTAAAGCCTATTCCAGGTAAAAGTCTGCAGAGCCTACTGATTGGCAGCTAATGACAAATCCAGGTCTGTTCAGTATAAACACAGCACTTGTAATCACTCAGAAATGAAAATTATTCTGTCTTGAGGTATTTTGCTCCTTTTCTTTGTGACACATTTTCCTGAATATTCTTTTCCTACCATAAACTTTAATCAATCATTACTATGCTAATATAAGGCTAGGAACATAGGAACATTGCTGTAATTGAGAGAGCTTTTCAGAGAGCTTTTTCATGTTAGACAGTTATCTTTGAAGTAGTGTACTAGGAATTATTAACTGGCTCATTAAAAGAAAAAGTAGGGAGAATGTTTCTTCTGAAAGGTATGAATGAATGAATGAGTGGGTCAGCTGATATATGGAATAAATGGTTCAGCTCAAAATAAGTTTATGCTTAAAATATTTCCTCCTTTGATTCACCCCCCCCCGAAAAAAAAAAAAAAGTAAAAATAAGTTTGGAAGAGCAAAGTAAAAAAGCTACTATTAAGAGTGTGAAAAGTCAGTACTTTCTTGATTAGCATTTTGAGATGAACTAGCAGACCAAAGCAGCATAGACTTTGTTTTATTGAAGTGGAGATGCAGCCTGTTGGTACCTGTCTAGGCTTAGGGATTGCAGAGGTGTCAAGCAGGATTAGTGTGACTGTCATCTGCTTTAAGATAGATACCAAGAGGGAGCATGACTGATCATGGTGTAGATAAAAAGAGAAAAGGGAATATTCCAATATCTATTTTGTGGATTCAAGAATACTGTCAGATGGCTTACAGGAAAGGCAGGAGAGTAATACAAGATTCTAATCAAAGTGATAACCTCCAGGTGGAAGAGTCAATTTTGCAACTCAACAAGCATAAATACTATTGTTGCCAAGGATATTTATCATCTATAAGCAAAATTTTTGAAGATAAGAAAGTATCTAAATAAACATTCAAATCATAAATGAAAGCAGGACTTGTTGGAGTGAATGGCTTGGAAGGGAGTAAAAAGCAAAAACAGGCTTAAAAATGAACCAGAAATCAAGATGCAGTTGAGGTTTCATGTTCAAGAACTTAACCACACCTGTAGTGTAGGGTCTGTCCTCCAAGTTATTTTTTGTGTGGGTCCTTGCTGGTAACTTACCACTTGCCTCACATGTTTAATCTGGGCGAGGTGGTACCGAGTGTCCTCGGTGGAGTTCTGCCACACCACGTACCCGGCAGCGGCCTGAGCTAACGCTCTGATGGGCTCCATTTCTGGGGGCACGTTGCCATGGCTGTCTGGCAGGGAAGACAAATAACACTCATTAAGCAAGAGTCACAGAGTGGCAGTCATTAACAGGACACCCTAATGAGTAGGGTTGGTTAAACGCTATGAGCTTTGACGTGTGGTCCTGTGTCACAGACCTCCACTCCAGCCCTGGCATAGCTGCTGCGTGACCCCGCTGTCCATTCCCCTCCCACTTCCCACTGTCTCTCTATATAATGGGCTGTATCTTCGAAGAAAAGGTTTTTCTGAGGTAAGAACAGACTCAAGTACTGCAGCCAGGGCACCCGATGTGCTGTGCCAAGCACTGCCACGTGAGAGCTGCGTTGCTAAAGCAGAGGTAATAGGGGGTGAACAGGAAACAATGCCAGGCACCTCTTAACTCAGTTCTTAATTTTGGAGTTAATGAATGAATTTGTTAATGCTGTGATTGGCAAAGCATCCTGAATAAGAGAAAAGAAAGACTCATGCATTCAGAGCAGGACTAATAGCCTGTTCCCTCCCGCTGGCATAGCATGGACCACCAGCTCTTCAGCTCAGCTCTGCTTTGGTCAGAGGACACTGTTGGGATAAGTCCTCTCCCTAGCTCCCTTCTGGGTACCTGGTATGTCCTGTGCCACAAGCTCTTCCTTCAGGCTCCTGATTTGGTTGTAGAACATGTTATCTTGTTCATCAGTGCTCTTAAGTTCTCCGTCGATTTCAAAGTGAACATCTGGAGCAACATTTGTATTGCCCAGGTGATAAAGAACCTCAGCAGTGCAATTAACAATGTTGTCCTGTTACAGAGTTAATCATGAGTAATATGATTAAATACATGTACAATATTTTTAAATTGCACTTGTAAGTTATCTAGTTGGTATTTTGTCTGAGTCTGACCCATGAGAATTGAGATTACTTAAAACAAGATCAAATTCCTAGCATCCATGTGAACGTATTTTAAAGGTGATTTTCTTTGATGTAAAAGGCGATGGCCAGTAGGGTGTACAATGGTGACTGTGTTTCGCAGTTAGAGAAATGGATTAAAATAGCTGTCTGGAAATTGAGCATTATGCCAAAATGTCCATGTCATCCTTCAGTTATCTTCATGTGTCATGGTGGTAGGAACCAGCCATTATTCAGGGCTTTTGTGGTATAGCAAATGATAGTTTCCTTTTGGGGAAGATTCAGCTTTTCTTTTTTCCTTAGTTTGAAACACAGTACAAATGTATTAAGTGTGTGTGCTGGCCTCAGTGAGCAGCAGCAGCACAAAGCGTTGGTTCACAAGTGCTAGTTCCTGCCCATAGAATTTATTAATTAAATGAATCGGAACTCACTTTGTCCAGGATGTCTTCTAACACCAATTTCAGATGATATTTACGTCCAACGTTGTCAATGTCCTAAATGTGAAAACATTAAGAATATGCATTTTGTAATCCCAAACTGATGAGCATTGTGGAGAAGCTCGTAATGATTCTTGTGAAATGCCTTGCAGCAGTGTCACTGTAACCCCATGTAGAGCAGGACTATTATTTCCTCCTACCATGTTTAGATTTGCACATTTAATATGTGCTAGAGGTGACATCTGATGAGGTATTTCCAAATCCATTTCCAGACCTTACTGCTCGACTCCCCTGTTAGAGTTCACAATATGCTCCTCTCCCTTAGCTTTTGCTTGATTAAATACTGAGCCGAGAGAGGCTTCATGAGGTTCCTTTTATTAAATACACCTTGCATTATGTCACACACTGACGTATGTTTTATTCTCCCTGTGCTGACACGTCCAGTGATGCAGCTTCTATATTGAGTAAAAAGTACTGAAAAGGTGCCCAGTCTCTGCAGGCCAGGGCCTGTTAGGGCTGCTTTTCACCCAGCAAAGATACCCAGCAGGAGAGCCCGTGCTGAAGGGTGTGGAGGTGCAGAGGTAGCTCTTATCTCTGCTTGCTGAATCTGCAGAGAAGCCTCATTTGAGTATTTTTAGGATGCAGCATTGGCCATTTTAAAAGGCCTTCTCCTCATCCTTGCCTGCCCCTTATCCTGTCCGTGAAAGATAAGCTAAGCTGCCGTTGGCAATTCCTAAAGCAAATAACCAGATAATAACCCGCTCTTTTGCTGTGCCGTGTTGCTGCAGTCTTTTGTGGTAGAGAACAACAGCAGGGTTTTATCACCCAACTACAAAGTGCAGCAGGAGCAGAGCAGTCACCGGGGGGCACCTGCTAACTATGAGCCGGCCGCTCCACACGGCGGAGAGCCAAGGTGCCGCCACCGTGCAGGGCTGCCCGCTCACCCCGGCCATCCCGGGCAGGTGAGATCCCGGGCGAGGGCAGGAGAGGAGAATGCCCAGGGATGCAGGTGGGGTCTGGCAGCCCCGGAGCTCACCTGGGCGCTGGCGGCGGTGAGGGCGCGCAGTGCGAGCGCGCGGCCCGGCCCGCCACGGCTGTAGCTGAGGCAGGCGGCGGCCAGCGTGGCCGCCCGGCCCTGCGGAGCCTCCATGCGGCTCCCGGCGCGGCAGCAGGAAGCGGCCACGGGGAGGGACGGCGGCCGCCCCGCGGCCTCCACACGTGGCAGGGCGGGAGCCGCGCGGGAGGCCTCCTCCTTCCGCCTCCACCACCATAAACCTGTATTTATCTGTGTATATAACCCACCTGTACACACTGGTTCATAGTCCCAAGGTTTCCCCCTCCCGTTCAGTTTGCCCAGTGAAAGCGATTCCGCCAGGATCCCTAGTAGGAGAAAATTGCTGGCGTGTGCAGAGGTGAAAAATCCCGCTCTTGCGTCAGATAGCAGAAAGGTCTAAAGGTGACCGGGCAGTGTCACTTGCTGCATACAGAGGAGACTTCAGATTTCTTCTTTTTTTCTTGATTTGTCTTTCTTGCTGTTCAGAGCTTTTTTTTTTCCCCTCTTTTTTGTTTTTGTTTTGATTTTCTTTTTACTTTTTACTTCTTTCTGTTACTTTTGTTGTTGATATTCTTGAGATCACATCATCACAATCTATTAGTTCCCAGCTCACAAGATAAAGAAACTTCTTCCTTCTCTTAAGGAAGTGCTGATATCGGAGGAATGAGGAAGAACTAGAACTCCCCCTACAACAAGTTAATAAAATATTCTCGACTGTTCTTTCAATCACTTTTAGGGCATTTAGCCCTTTTTAGTTAAGCATAACCAAACTGCAGTATGAGAAATTCAGCCTTATGAAACTGTGGTGAAAGCCTCATTTGTGTAACGTGGTGCTCTGAGTTTGCTTCTTTGTTCCTAGGTTTGAATTTACGCACAAGAAACAGAGCGGTGGGGCAGGCCAATATGGCAAAGTCATCGGGGTGCTTGAGCCTCTGGATCCAGAGGACTACACAAAGCTGGAATTCGAGGACAGAACCATTGGCACAAATATCCCCAAACAGTTTGTGCCTGCTGTTGAGAAGGTACGAAGCATTTTGTGATTGTGTGTGCTGTTTGTCTTACCCCAGGCAAAGAGGCTTTTCCCATTACTTCAGTAGAAACAGAATCAACTCTGTGTGCTTTTGCTTAATATCTTACATTCCTAGGTTTTCCACTTAATTTAGAAGTGACTGTTTGTTTTCTTTGCTGTGCTTAGCTCTATTTCCATAGCAATGCCCCTGTGCAAAAGGTAGGCTTTCCTTCTTTACAGTAAAACAAACCTCCTCCTTTGAATCTGCTTTTTAATTCCTCTCTTCTGCTTTTGATTGTGGTCACTTTATCGTAATCTCTAATTCTGAAATATGTTACATAATTTTTGTTATTTTTCAGAGGCCACTTATGTAAGAAATTGCAGTTAAAAGAGGCTTCTTGAATAAATTACCCAATATTCTTTCTTTTTTTCCTCCTTTGGAGGCAGCTTCTATGTATGCTTCTCTTCATGTAACTATTTAGTTTATCACATACGACTTTAAATAATGCCTTTTTATCACCATCTTAGCACCATCTTAGGATTCCTGTAATAAATAAACTAAAAGAATTCTGTTGTTCTTCTGTGATGCAACACAATGATTTTTGCCAAACACATGCAATCTTAAAAGAATTTTGTTCCTCGGTCAAGTGGTTAATGTAATTGCTGTCCACATGGAACCTTTTTCAGTTATTGTTCACAGGCTTTATTTAACAAAAAATCCTGAACACATTTCTTCTCTTCTGATTTCTCATCTGATTTCCATTTCTAAGGTGATATCAAATTGAAGAACAGTACAAAGTTTTAAATTGCTAGGGAATGGAAAACATTTTCCTCACTATGTTGTATCTGTTGTTATTTTATCAAACAAGAACATTCATGGTCCAAATGTGTGATGTTTGTTAAAAATTGTGAAATACAGCTATATTTCTATATAGTTGCTGTTAAAGCTGCTGTTTTTCTTTTTTGTTTGTTTTTTCAAGTTTCATTTCATTTTGAAGCTGCTAACTTTGAGATATTATTTGACAGGGATTCCGAGATGCCTGTGAAAAAGGTCCAGTGTCGGGGTACAGGATATCTGGAGTCCGGTTTGTCCTGGAAGATGGTGCCCATCACATGGTGGATTCTAATGAAATCTCCTTCATCAGAGCAGGAGAAGGAGCTCTAAAGCAAGGTATAAGACTAGTGGCTTGAATATGCCGTGCTGTTGGAGCCAGATTAAACTACCTCATCTTCTAGTGTTCACTTGCTGCCTGGTGTACCTGTATGCTTACATTCAAAATTTATTGGCCAGTTAAATAGCACAGAATAAATGCAAAAATATAGAGAATTTTTGAGGAAGGCAACCTAATTCTTGTGCTGCATGAAGGAAAAGGCACCCTTTTCTTCTTAGATGACAGTAAAGAAACATAAATAGCTTAATCTGTATAGAAGTAAGAAAATAACATTCTGTTAAACTGTGTGTTTGCTGGCATTATGGTCTCTGAAATGGAAGGTAGGGGAGGCAGAACAGTTGTTACCTTTTGCTTGCCAACGTTCAGCATTTGCCACAAAGACACTTTGTTGCTGTACATAATTTTGAGTGACTCCAGCTTGTCTCGCTGCATGTGAATTTAGCTAGAAGTTAATTTATACAGTCTTGCAAAACACAACTTCCATGAGTAACACATTACCATTCAGCGTTAGGGTCATTGGTCTAATAGGGAACATGTTGCCTTAGCTGTCGCTTCTGGCCTTAACTGCTGCAGGCCATGACAGCACTTCTCTTGCAAGGCCAAATTAAAGATAATGTGTATATACTAGGTAAGCATAAGAATTACAAATTTTTAAATTAATCTTTTGGGTTTTTTTTCCTTCCAGCTATGGAAAATGCTTCTGTGCGTATTCTTGAACCCGTTATGGCAGTGGAGGTGATGGCACCCACTGAGTTTCAGGGAGCGGTAATAGCCGGCATTAACCGCCGCCACGGAGTGATCACAGGACAAGATGGCACCGAGGATTACTTCACTCTCTATGCTGAGGTGTGTGCTGTTATCTGATTTTTTCCCTTTAGTGTTTATTTCCATTGCTGTTTTCCTTAGTAACACATGTAAACTTATAGCCGAGTTGCTGAGGAACTGTGCATAACATTAATTTTCAGCTCAGCAGTGCAATATAAACATAATATTACAATGCACTATATGCATACAGTGTGTACACAGTGCATACAGTGCAATTTAAGCCTGTTATGAATCTGCCTGACCTATAACATTACAGTGGCAGAGAAAGGAAGAGAATTGAGGTTTCCTGCAGTTTGGCATCCTGCTCTGTTCACTGCATCCACTCCCCCACCTGCACTTCAGTTCCTTACTAGGACCCCTTTAATGAACCAGATCTAGCAGCTGATCTGCTTCCTAGTGAGACAAGCTGTGCAGCAATACAGACACATCAAGTTAAGGGGAGAAATCATTAGTCAGCTGTCTTTCTTCAGCTGTTAAAAGGAGACATTAATAATTAGGACTGCACGCATTGATTGTCTTCCAAGCCTTTTGTGTCCCTTCTAAAATGAGTTCGTGTTCACTTTAGGTCATAGGAAGTGTATTTTAACAATGGATGTGGGATAAATCATCTCGGCAAAGGCTGGCTAGTGACAAAACGTGCTGTGTCATTCCTGTTTTCAAAAGCACTGTGTGTTTTAAAGTTACGGTCTTGTTTCATATGTGTGGTTTTAGGTGCCACTGAATGATATGTTTGGATACGCCACCGAGCTGAGGTCTTGTACTGAGGTAAGTTCTTTCAGTATTTTTTTACTATGCTTATATCTGTATATAAAGTGTGTTAATTTGTGTTGTGTTATACACAGCATGAGTAGCCTTAAAGGGATTAAAATAAAAATGCAAAATAAGAAAAGATGAATAGAGTTGTTACTGTTGCTTTAACTGTGTCTTAAATATCTAGTATTTGCTATGTCATTTCAGACTAAAGATTTCTTTTAAACTTTGGGGCAGGAAGGAGATAAGTCTGAACTTAATTCAAAATGGTAAATATTGATAAAGATATTGAATTCATAGGTTGCAGAAGTTCTGTCATACTCCCAACCTTCAATTTCAAATTCCTGCAAGCCAAGAGATTTTTGAAGGAAGTGCTTGCCTTAATTAGGTGTCCTTTTTAGCAATGTACATTTCTGTGGCTAAACATTGAATTTCTGGATGCATTTGAACCGGGTGAGACATTTTCTTAGTGTTATACTAGTAATTTGCTATTTCCCATCTCTTGTGATATAGAAATGTTATATTTGATGAGCATTTGAATGGATTGTTGCTAATATCATAATCATTCTCTGAATTTTAAGCAAAATACCCACAGGCAATTTTATAATGCCCTGTCAAAGAAACAATGTTCAGATACAGTTTGTTATTTTGGATCTCATAACTACGTGCCTCAACATACAGTGTTGTGTACTTTGTAAAATGTTGTTTACTTCACAGACCATGGTGTGGGCAAGTGCAAAATAGCTCCTTGTTTAACATCCTAACTTTGATATATTTTTTTCCAACTCTTCAGGGAAAAGGTGAATATACCATGGAATACTGTAAATACCACCCATGTTTGCCCAGTACCCAGGAAGAAATAATAAATAAACACCTTGAGGCCACGGGGCGACTTCCCGCGAAAAAGGGCAAAGCCAAGAGCTGACTTCCTTCTTCTGGAGCACATGGAACAGTTTATTGCAATTTTCTGTGAGAACTCAGTTGCTCAAGTGATAGAAGAGACTGAGGGTGGATGGATAAATACAGACTGCAGTGGGACTTCATTACATCCTAGTGCCCTTCTTTTACGGTATTCTCAGAAGTCACCAGGAGATTACAGCTGAATTGTTCACTTGTAGATGCCACTCATTAACAAAATACATAAATATGATAACATTGACAATAATTTGTCTTGAACTTTGTCTCGACGGTTTGTATTAAAATAGTTTTATTTTTTTACTTGATAAAATATTGTTGTGCAACTAGGCTAGTCACTGTTTCTCTACTTTTGAAAAACTAAAAATCCTAACATTTAGGAGGCTAGATGTTAGCTGCCAATATGGTGAATATTTTTCATTTAAGTGTTCCAAAAAGATCCTTTGGTGTTGCAGTTCACTGCAGCATACAGTCTAGGAAAAAAATATGCTAATATTTTCTTCTCATGTCATAGAGAAAAGATAGCACTTTTCTCATCTCATAGAGGAAAGATAGTACTTTTTAATGTTACTACTAAAAGATCCACTGTGCATTTTCCTTGTGTGCCCTTTCTTCTTGACTTTCTCTGCTTGCAGCATTTTTGCAGACTTCCAGTAAACAGGGAATGAAGTTCCAGTTCAAAACCAACTGCATTCCTGGCACAGGATTGTGCTTGATGTTTACCAGACACAGAACTATAATGGCTGGGCTTTTTTTTTGGCTCAGTCCTCACAGAAAGGCAGTGAAAATTACACATTTTAAGCTTAAAGTAAGTACAGTGTCAGAGATTTGTCAGGGGCATGTAGATACTAACTAAACACGGGCATATGTTTGTGTATGAATACGATGTTGCTTGGGGCCAAATCCTTCTTGTTTCCCTTACATCTGTAGCATTATTTTGTGAAAAAAAAATGCATCTGGAACTAATTTTAAGGAAAACCCTACAGGTTCTCTGTCGTTTAGGGATTTTCTTAAGCAAACAAACATTCCTCTACCTTTGCCAAAATTCGGAGAAGACTTATAAAAGCAGTATGAATGCAATTACAAAGAAAAAAAATAGAGCAGTTATTTTGGTTGTATTTTTGGCTTTTATGTTTTGCTTATTAGAGGTCAGTCATGATGTGAAGCCTTGGCTCTGGTTCTGCCAGATGTGTGTTGCTGCTGCTTGAATCTAACGGAGACAATGAGACCGCGCTCGGGGCAGTGCAGCGCAGGGGCGGCTGCACCACAGTGGGGTCTGCTCTACGTAATGACCAGAGCTCTCTTCTCTCGTGGGTATAAAATAATGTTTACCTTTATTAACAATTTAACAATGGCAACTGAATTTTGCCTCAGTAAAAACTGCATAGATAATTTCAGGTTTTGTTCTACTGACTGAAATCTTGGCCCTAAAGACTTTGATGGAAACTTGGCCATTCAATTCCAACCAACTGGGACTTTTCCAGAAGTTAGGATTGTGCAGTTTCTTAAATGAGATAGAACTTGTGCTGCTTACTCGAGGTCAAAGTTGCACTGGTTTGTCAAGCTGGAAACAAACGATTCTCTGTTCTGGGTTTGGAAAGCAGTAGCAAAAACCTTACTTTGTTAGCAAGAAAACTAACCTTGTAGTTAAATATATTGCTGAAATAGAGCCCCCAAGGTACAAAATCTCTGTACTACTTTCTTGTTTAAAATCTTTAAAATTTGTCATTATTAGTTTCCTATTGAAGTTGTCATTAAAAGCTCTGATTACATGTTTTGCCAGTAGAAAAGTAAACACAATGTATGAAATGCTCTTTTACTGAATTTATTTTAACATGTTGATAAATACTTTAACTGGAAGATGGTTATTTTGTGTGACCTGATAACCAAAATAATTCAGGCATTTTATATAACTATATTTCTCTTTCTAGACTTTTACTGACAAGCTTTTTATGTATTAGATCATCATTACTGGCTACAGATCACTGGTATCCCAGGATACTGCAAGTTGTAGAAGAAAATAACCGTTGCAGAAGGCACAGACCATTGCCTGCTTCCCAAAGTAAGGCATACCTATGACATGGAGTTTATTTATCCTGATAGAAATTGTTGTTAAGGAAAAAAAGCAACAAGTCAAAATAGTTCAACATTATCGTAGAGAACAAAGGTGGGGAAATGCACTTGCCCTGAACCCAGAATGGAGAATTTGGTGTGAAAGGACGAAAATATGTTTTTATATGTTTTTGCTGTAAGACTTTGTTTTGTTTAAGATGCACAGAAGGCATGGCAGTCATTAAAATATAGTATCTGACTGGATATTGTGACAACAGGGTGTTCCTCAGCCAAACCCAAACATGGAAATTTTATGTCTGATGTTGAGTCCACCATTGTTCAAGTCTGCAGCAAAAACTCCATCCGTCCTGCAGACAGCCCAAAAGACACAATATCTGCATGTTTGACAAACACTTCCCTTATGGGGTCATAGATTGGTGGTGGACAGAGGACAAACAAAAAAAAAACCACATTTTCCATATCAATATATTCTCCGTAGACTTTGCAAATACAAGCAGATAAACTTCCTTTTTTAAGCAGGAATTGCTGTTTGCCAACAGGATTTGGACTAGCGAGTCCCAAAAGAAAACTCAACCTCTGCTGTGTGTAATGATACTTATTTTATTGAAGATTTAAGTTAAAAAATAGCAAATAATATATCTATCCAAAAATGAAAAAAGAAGATTTAGTAGACAAGTATTTATAACAGTGACAGAGTAATATTTTTTCCTCAAGATTTTTATCCAAATATATTAACTTTGTTCACTTAGTTGCATAACATCAGCCTGTGTATGTTTATCTATGAATGTATATAGTAGCAAAATTTGTTTAGGCAGATCTGTAGAACGTGTGAGTTTTTACCATTTAAGAAATCAGAGATTCATTCTGAAACAGTCTAGTGAAAGCATTTAAAGTCACTGAAGTGTGACTAGTATAGAAAAGTTATCACAACTCTGGATTTATTAACTCGAGGGTTCTCCCATTTTATATGTTTATACAAAACTGACAATCATGTCTCAAAAATTTTCTTCTTTTTCCTGTAAAATTCCAGCAGCAGATCCAGATTCCATTCCAGACGTCTCCTCAAACCACTGATTCTCTGAAGCACAGAAGTACTTTACTTTCAGAGGGTGACCAGGAAGCCAAATGACACGCAGGTGGCATGAAATCATTTCCTGGAGAACAGATTTAAGGGAAAGGGAAAGAGAAGAAGAGAAAAGAGAAGAAGAGAAAAGAGAAAAGTTATCTTTATGATCTTTTTGTTCTTATTCTGTTGATGAAGGTGGGTATTACACATCTATGCTTTCTTACCTGTGTTGGAATTTCATGAAGTAAGACAGTGTAGTCAAACTCAATAAAATCATCTTGCCTTATCTGGACATGTAACAAAGGAAAAAGCAACCAAAAACATAGGTTATATTGTTGAAGTATGGTATCTACTCTGATTAATTAAGTGCATTTAGCCTAATAACTGGGAGAGAGAAAAAGAGACTGAGATGATGATGATAAGATAGGTTTTTGCATGTGGAGAGGAGGGCAACTGGGAACAATTCCTGTGCCAAGACTTTGAGGACACTAACTGGAGTGGGGCTTTGCAGTTTGACTGTACTGTGATGTGAAGCTAGGCTTAGGCAGATGCCAGTTATTTCAGTTAGCCTTTGAATGAATGTGAGAGTCCTATTAATGTCTCTGAAAAAAATATATAATTCTGAATAACCTGGGAATAGAAAGCAAGCACACTTTATAGATCACAGGTGACTGCGTAGTTTTGTGCAGTTTGCAGTTTGTGCAGTTTGCTTCCCAAGAGAACTTATATCAAATATTAAATTGATGCTAGGAAGGTTAAAAAGAGTAGGAGTGACTTAGCCTGGGGTTGCTGAATTGCAGGACCACATGTATAAATCCTCTGATGAATCCTGCAGAAGCCAACAGATGGGCTCACGCAAACAGAACAGAATTTTGTCCAAATGAGTAATAGTTTTCGACCAAGCTCTGGACAAAATAACTCATTCTGATGGAGATACTTTTATGTGAAACCACTTGGATCTTGGAAGAACACAGATATTACAGTACATGTGAGCTCTCGATGGCGGTTTTGTTTTCTCTTGCTTGGTGGACAGTGTTTGTGTCTAACACAGACTGGTAATTTTGACTTGGCTTACCCACTGCTTCGCAGACTTGACTTGTGCCATGGAGTAACTCAAGTTCTCTGTTGATTTTTCCCACATTATTTTGCTGCTGCCAACAACAGCCAAAGCCCACACTGGCTCAAAGGCAGGTTCAATATTTCCATAGCTGTCTGAAAGGGAGAAAGAAAATAATGTAAAAATGATGAATTCTGCCTGTTCCTCAGGCAGACGATAAACCACAGAGCCCTGTGACGTGGCACAGAAACACTCCATAACTCTTGCCTCGGACACGTCGCAGTCCTCGGTGTGCAGAACAGACCCCTGATGAACTCACTGTGACTGCAGAAGGATGAAAGCAGGAGGGAGCTGGAATTATCACAGGATGTTACTCCTGACTCCCTAACCTAGGAGGAAAAGGGGGACCGGGACTCTCTATTTTGGGGATGGGAAAAATCAGTCTTCCCTTGTGAATGCCCATCCATAGGCTGTAGGTTAAAGCAGCCGTTTACTTGAGGAATTTTTACTTGAATATAGGTTTGCATAGGCTGGCTCCCAAATCCTGAACAGTTGACTAACACTCTTGCTAAAAAACCCAGCGGGGGTTTTCTCCCCAGGGATCTTTGGCAAGGGGGAACTTTTAGGGGAGGGAAAGAGGAAGGAGGAAAGTTAGTCTTGGTTTTAGGGTGCTGCTGTGGAATAACATCTACTTCTTTAAATCCAGGCACATTTCCTTGCATTCTGAAGAGTGCCAAAACTCTTTGATATGAAATGGCGTAAGATTGTTTGGGAAAATATACCTGGAATGTCATTTGCAATTATTGGTTTGGTTTGTTGCTTTATTTTTTGGTAAAGTTTGTTGTCCTCTTCTTGGATTTGCTTCTCATCTTTGGTATCTACACAGTTGATAGTGACAGCAGGAGGAGAGCTTCCCTTCTCAAAGAGCACTGTAGCAAGGCAATTCCCAACGTTTTCCTGAAAAGGTAGAATTCCAAACTGTTATTATCAATCAAGATTTAGATGTAGCACATTTTAAAAAGACAAACATCGAGTTGGTGGGAAGAGCAAACCCTGCCCTGTGCTGGGCAAGCAGGTGAAAGCAAAGGGTAAGTCCTTTTATTGTTAAAGACTGATTTACAGAAGCTGGTACGTATATCCTGTTTTAAAGACATTGAGGTTTAACACACGCTGTCAGAGAAGACGCAGCTGGGCTATAAACTTACCCTGCTTCTGTAGTCTTCGGTAGTGAACTGCAGGTAGTATTTATGGCCAATTCCTGGGATGCTCTGGAAGAGAGAAGAGTTCTGTCGCCGCTGTAACTACAGCCTTATATATTATTATAACTTAATCACTGCTGAGCACGTGGTGCAGGCAGCACTGTGGAAACACATCAGCGCCCCTTGCTTCTGAGGAGGGAGTTAGGGCAAAGGCAAGAGGAAGAGAGCTTGGAAGTAATATCTGAGGGTGTTTGAATCAACTGGAAAACAAATAACTTTAAGATTTAAATTAATTATTGATGTTTATACTTTTGTTTAACTGCTTACAGAAAGGTGTGTCATTTGATTCAAAAACGTTAATTTCTGCTTTGATGACACAAAAGCTATGGACCTCAGTGACACTGCTTTAGCAAAATAACTTCTCTCTCCCAAAGAATAAACTAAGGTGCTCCATGAGCACTAAAGAAGGAAAAGGAGGGTACCATGAGCGTGCCAAGGCTTGTGGCCTTGTAACTCAGAAAATTGGTCAGCTGAGATACACTGGTATGATCCTAGCAGCAAGTGTCAAGCATCTTAAAAACAGCAAGAAATAACCTTTATATTAAAGAATAGCTTAAAGCCTTTCCCCATGGAGATATGCAAAAAGAAAAATGCAGCTGAGTACTGCATGGGACAGAGTGATACGGAGTATCTTCAAAAGTTATAAATTCAACTTGAAGCATTTTTTGCTCTGGCTATCAGAGTGCCCTTGAGTATAGATAGATGGATTGCATCTCAACTACTGTTTTACATCACAGTAGGAATTACAAAGGTTCCTTTAAGCTCAGTGATGCTAATCTGGCTAGTTTTTTCCCTACCATGGAGGAAAGAGGCAGGCTCTTCTACCGGGACATCAGTGTGGGACCCCCACCTCTCCGCTCTGATTTGCCCTCTGGAAGATCCCCCCCGGCAGCTCCCCTGGGCCCGGTGAGCTCTGCAAAGCCCTCCTGCCTTCTGCAGCTGCCACCTCTGAGGTGACCAGCCGCCCTGCTATGGCAAGGGAAAATAAAGAGCACCCCTTGCCATGGGAAACGACCAGCAGCACCTCTTGCAGCACGAAACATCAGGAGAGTCTCCAAAACGTACATCTTAAACAGCTCCTTTCCTTGGGCTTGCTAAAACTTGTCACAAGCTTTTCATGGTGGTTGTGGCCAATAGGTTGCTGCTGACGATTGTGTGGGTTGGTTTTGTGTTGGTTGTTGCTTTGGTTAATTCTGATTTTGCTGCGAGGTGTCACAGAATGCTCTGACTCCTAGCATGCTGAAACAGAAGCTTGTTTCCAATACTGGTCCTCAAAAGTAATAATTACTGTAAAAAGGATCAGTGTATCATTTAATAGGGCACAAGCACAGCCTGCAAAAAAGTATTTGGATGATCTGCTCTTTACTCCATTAGTCCATTCTTCTCTAGCAACTTGTAAACTTATTTGGCAGAGAGGAGTCTGAGTGACAGATCAGCAGTGATTTTTACATTTGTAGACAACTGTTTGCTTGTAAGATGACTTAAAAAAACAAAAAACATTGGCTTTTTTTCATTTGATTAAATAAGTCATCAGTAAAGCAAGTCATGCTTACAGTGGCTTTATTAGATGCTATTAAACATGTTATACTGTGATTTATCAGATAAGCTTTCAGATACACAAATCACTTCTGTGTCTGAAAGTTTGTTCCTTGCACATCATTAATTGCTTTAGTAAAAGGTAGTCTCCCTCATCACCAACCTCTTGCTTCCATCCCTAACCTCTCAGTGACTCTAGCCCTACTTATTCAGTGTATTTTTTTACACAGGTTTCCTGCTCTGGGACATGTGTCAGGCAGCATGTGGAAAATGCATTTTCTGGAGGCTGCAAGCTGCCTGTCAGAGCGTGCCCTCGGGAATACTGCTGTATTCCAGTGACAGCACTGATTCAGTAGCCACCTTCTTTTTAAACAGCACTCTTCAAGTAAGTAGTAGGGTAATTCTGACTGTTTCCATGCCATGGAAAGTTAAAATCCTAAGCAAATGTGCGCATATTTTACTTATCAAAATTCAGACCTTTTTGCTGCTATCGTATTTTCCTCCAGGAGGCTATTAATAGCAAAACAATCACTAAGCTTATTTCTCAGGCCAAGGCCACCAGCCCAGCACCTGCCTTTAGCACACACATGAGTTATGTGCTGCAGATAAGAGGCTTATTTACTCGCTGCACTTCTGCAAAGTCTCCGTGAAGAGGAAGCCGCTGTTTGGCCCTTGCTGTATGGGGAGCGGAGAGGTCTCCATCCCTCCTCCGCTTCCTCCTCCTCTTCCCGGTCTCTCCTGCCGCCGCTTTGTGCACTGACCAAAGCTCCCACTTTTCCCGTTCGGGCAGCAGGATGCGGAACAGCGTGCAGTGCTCTGGGTGCACAGGGGAGCTGGAGGCGTCTGCGCCTCCTCCCTGCCAAGGGAGTGCAGCAGCGCTCTGCATGCACGAGCATATACATACGTACGTATACACTGCACATATATGCACACGTGCACTTCTACTGCACCAGTGCACGTGTGTGTATGCACATGCATAGCAAATATATACACATGGGCACTTCTGCATATATTTACACACAGCTTGTTTACAGTGCACATGCATATAGGCACACAGCTTTAACATTTGTAATGCACATAGATATAGCATACATAATGCACATACAGACATGCATATAGCATAAACATGGTACACATGCACACAGTGCACATGCATATATATATATAATGCACATGCACACACACTGCACATACAGTGTGCATGCACACATACAGCATATAAACAGCACACATGCACATATATGCCCAGACAGCATATATATGCATGGGCATAGATGCAGATACAGCATATATATTCATGGTGTGCATGCATGCAGGCACATAGCATATATATGCACGTGCATAGATGCAGACACACAGCCTACAGATGCACAGTGCACATGCCTGTGTGCACAGACATAGCATATATCTACATACCACACATGCATATACAGACTCACAGCATATAGATGCACTGCACCTGCATGTATGCAGGCAGCATATAGATACATGGGTATAGATGCAGACATACAGCATATAGATGCATAGTGCACATGCACATATACACACAGCATATATATAGTGCACGCGCATGTATGCAGACACATATGCATATATATGCATGTGCACAGATGCAGACACACAGCGTATAGGTGCACAGTGCACACGGATGTATGCGCGGCACAGCCCCGCGGCTCCGCCGGCTCCGCGGCCGCCCCTACCTTGAGGCCGGCCTTGCGCAGCGCGCGCAGCCCGCGCAGCGCCGCGGGGGAGCCCGCGCGCCCGTTGAGGTAGTGGAGCGCGGCGC